AGCTGAATTAAAAACTCAGCTTTTATTGTGGTGCTTGCGATCGCAGAATGTGTTCTCAATTTTGTACACTGTGATATAAACAAGGTACTCGTGCATCTGAATAAATTTTTATGCAAATAATTTCTTCTGACTATTTTCAGAATTATATGTGGTTTCAGGTAGTGGCTATTATTATTTTTCAATTAAAAAATGAAATGTCTGAAATTTAGTTTGTTTGCAGTTAAGCAAACAAACTAAATTTGCAAAACTGTATGAAAAGTAATATTTGCTTAGTTATAATTTAAATTAAAAAAATTGTGAACTACTTTGTGCACTACATTACATATTTTCTTGCAGTCCTATGTCCATTTTGGCAGAAAAAACAAGCAACTATGGATCACAAATGTTTAAAGTATTAAACTGTGCTGTTAGCTAATGAGCATTTTGGCATTTTAATTTCATAATATCTGTATTGGTTGTTATTTTTTTCTAATCACATTTGGTAAGATTAATTAAAGAAAAATTCATGTTAAATTGAACAACAGAATAATCATGCAAACACTGATTTGCTGTCTGGGTATATGAATCCATTTCTGTACATAGTGCTTTATCATTACATTATTATGCAACTCTTCAGTTTTAGAAGTTCTGCTTCATAGCTATTTGAGTACCTATTATTCATCTGAGTGGATTCATCTCCGACACAGCATTCTAAGTGCATGACCTTTATCTAGATGATTTATTTTACTGCACCGATTATAAAATGCCATTAAAACTTAAACTGATCATTTCTTCTTATTACTGTGATTTACTTTTTTGATTTGCAAATTTTAAGAGGACCAATTCTAAAAAGTTCAAGCAGTACAAATGTTACCTTTCTATGCAAATATTTTTATGATAATTTTTACTCTGAAAACCTGTCACATCCTTCAAATGAAATCTTAACCTTTTTATCTAGTCTCCAATCCTTGTAATTATATTTACTAAAAGTTTACATTATAAAAAAATTATCTAATGTATGATAATGACTGAATATAAATTTAGTATCAGAATTTGCCATTTTTAATCATCTTTTTTAGCTTATGGCTAAAAAATAAATTAGAATAAAATAAGGCTCATTTTTTAACGTTATTCAATAATATTCTTTGATTTGCTAATATGCAGCACTCTTTAATTTGTTACATAGGTTATGCTGAAGGAATTTTCATCAAAGTAATTTATAAGTTTTCAGATGCTAAAAATATGTTAATATTCTTCTGCAGTTTTATTACTTGGCAATTATATAAAAAAATTCCCCCCCAAAAAATTTGATTTTTTTTCATGGAGGGGAAACATTTTTCTGAAAATATATAAATATTTTATTGAATCATGTATACTGACCATCATACAGGGTTGCCACTCAAACGGGGAAAATAAAATTCCCTGACTTTTCCAGGTGTATTTTAAGAAAATGCCAGTCTATCCTGGTACTGAGTGTTGGTTGTGCTGAGAGGTAAATTAATTATGGTACTGTTTGTAAACACAAAAATTTGTCAATTACATATATAATCCCAAAACATATATAATCCCAAAACCATTTTTATTATAACTATAATAGGAGTTATTTTCTCCACTGAAGATCAAGATTAGAATATGCCCAATCTAGATCAAAAAATGTCTTTTTTTGCAGACATTTTGCAGCTAAATGAAAGAAAGAAATTTGTTTAATGATATTTTAAAATAAATTCCAGTATTTTATATTTTTTATTTAGCAGCATACATAAGCAAAAAATATGTGCGTTAAATTTTGTGATGCTATGTCATCGTATTGCTACAAACAAATTTGGATAATTACCTTGGTTTGTACATTATGGTTGGCACAACCAAGTCAAAAATATTTTCTTAAAAATTTATTATATTAATTAGTTTCGGGACTATGCTAGAGAAAATTGCCTGAATTCGAAAGTATTAAATAAACTTGGAAGAAGTCACATTAAATGGTACAAACAACATTAAAATAAATTACTTAAAGATTAAAAAACTGAATTACAATAATCAGTGATATTTTGGCGAATATAAATATATTAAATGGTTAACCTAGATGACTGATTACTATTTTTTTATGTCACTGCAAAACGATACGGCATTTATTAAAAAAGGGGGAAAAAAGGTTTAAAAGATTTTGTTGTAAAATTCTAGTATATGGTATGGCAAGATTTTGAAAACTGTCACAAAATGACCCATTTACTGCACATCTTAGTGTATCAAAACCCCGCATGTACCATATACTAGGACTGAACAGATTTTGTTTCATGAGAGAATGGAAAGGTATTTTGTTTTGTTCAACATGCACTGCACGTGTGATTCTTGAGGTTTCTGGAAACCATGGTGCTGAACAGTTGATTTGCTTTTCTAAAAGACAATCTGATTGGAACTGCAAAAATTAGCTCTACGCCAGCTGCCCGAACATTCACGATACATAATTCGCTGCCCAGAAAGTGATAGTTTCCAGTGTTGCTATAAAAATTGCATTTTTAAGGGATTCCCATATGAAATTCCTCAAATTTGATTAAAATATTTAAATTTTCGAATTCCCTGATTTTCTCCAGTTTTTCAGGTAGCATGGCAACTCTGTCCAGTATCTTTTATTATCTTTCTGATAGTAACCTAATTCCATGCTCACGAAATTTCTGAGGTTTGATATCCTCAGGAACAACTTCATGCACAAGGTAACCAAACAAGTTCTTGCCGCTTCCGATACGATACTGGAAGAGTGAACCCAAATATAAAAAAAAGTCGCCAAGCCTGGCAATGAAGCGGTTAGGATGGGAGTCCAGACATTAACCAAGAGTATAAAAGCGCGAATGTATTTGTACTTCAAACATAACTCACACAGCGACTGATTGAAATGGATATGCCAAAGGCGCTTGTTCGGAGTTGTTTGCTGCATGATTTTAAAGTGGACTTGTCAACAGCAAAATCAAGTCACCGAATTTGCCAGGCCTTTGGAGATGATGCCGTTATTGAACGAACCACTAAGCAATGGTTCCATAAGTTCAGGGGATATATCTCTTAGTGATGAACCACACAGCACTGAACGATAAGGCCTCGACATCAGCCATAGAGCATGACAAGTAGCCAAACATGTGGTGAGCTTGCTGCACACTTCCAGGTATCTGATGAAACGATCAAACTCTATAGGAAAGACATACAAGCTGAGCAAGTGGGTACCCCACTCACTGTCCGATGGAAACAAGCAACTGCGTGTCGCTGCCTGTTTGTTATTGCTTGCTTGGCACCACAATGCATCCTTATTTGATCGAGTACTACCTGTGATGAAAATTGGGTACAGTGTATACAGTGGTGGCCAAAATTGTGGACACTTTTGGAAATTTTTATGTTTTTGAACTTTGTATGCTTATAGAAAACGTTACGTTTCACAAAATGCAAACTTGTATGTATCATTTTAAAGAGAATTTTATTACTGAATTCAATACAAAACACAAAATTCAATTATTTACAATAAAAAAAAGTTAAATGCTAATAGTTATCGATATACATTAGATAGTGATGATTGCAGTGAGTTATCAGTACTTAGTAGGGTACCCTTTATTTTTGATTACAGCTTCACATCGACGTTTCATTGAGCGGACAAGAGTTTTAAGCTCTTCTTTCGTTATTACATGATGCCAGAAAACAATTATAGCCTCAATTAGTTACCTTTTATTTGATGGGCGCCTCATTCGGACAAGAGTTTTCAAACAGTGCCACAAATTTTCGATAGGATTGAGGTCAGGACTGTTTCCTGGCCATGACAACAATTTAATGCTCTTTGTACGAAACCACTCTTTCGATATTTTGGCTGTGTGGCAAGGAAGCAGAATCCTGCTGAAAAATAAACGAAGCATTGTTGAGAAAGAGATCTCTGATGTAAGGTAGAAGTTTTGGTTCTAGAATAGTGTCAATATATTTTCTGGCATTCAGGGTCCCATCGGTGGCATGAAGGCGACCAATACCATCTGCTGACATGCATGACCAAATCATTACACTAACTGGGTTCTTCACAGTTGTTTGAATGCAGTCAGGATGTAGCTCTTCTCCTATTCTACGTCTTACATATTTTCGCTCATCACTACCGAATAACGATATCTTAGTTTCATCACTTCATATAACTTGTGACCACTGATCATCTGTCCAATTAATGTGTTCCTTTGCCCACTGTAGCCTTTTTTCGTTGCTGAAAATTAAGATAAGGCTTTTTTTGTGGAATTCTACCTCTCAGTCCAACATCTGTTAATTTTCTCCCGATTGTTCTTGAACTGACAGAAACACCAGCATCATTCAGATCACTTCTGATGGCCGCTGATGACATTTTTCTATCTTGGAGACATAGTCCTTTTATTCTTCTGTCGTCAATAGATGTGGTGCACCTTTTTAGGCCTTTTCCTTCTTTGGTTTTTATTGAATTGGTCTCCTGATATCGTAAACAAAACTTTCGGATTCCAGATGTAGTCACTGAACCACTCACCTGTCTTGCAATTTCAGCATAGGAAAGACCACTTTCTCGTAACACAATAATATTACATCTCTTTCTAGGTGTCCAATCTACTCTTTTATTTGATGTCATTGCTTCTTGCTTGACTAATATTAAAAATTTTTACAAAAATTGCTACTTGTAATTGCAGTGTATAAAACCGGTCCTCCTTCTACAGAACAAAGCAAAATAATGAATTGTTTCAAGTGTAAACATGATGTCAGCTTCTACTGGCAGTTACTAACATTTGATTGGTTCTCAGAACAAGAACAGTGATTGGCCAGAAAATCTAGACATTACAAACCACTTCATAACTGTGTTTTTTATTTATATTAAAGTACATATAACTTTTTTTGTATTGCAAATAATTGAATTTTGTTAGTTAATCAAAATCAAGTTAGATTAATCAAAAATATAATATGTGGCTGATGCAAATTTTACTCTCTCTTGATATTAAATGCAAAATAAAATTCTAAGACAAAAACATCACAAAGGGGTGATACAAACAAACTGCATTAAATAAATGTTTATTTAAAATTTGTAAAAATATAAATACAGAATGTTATGTGTGTGCTGCTAATTCATCTTCTACTAGCTTCCTATATTGTGAAAATCCACCTGATATAGATGAGACTGTTCCATTTCTACACACCCACAGTTCTTGACAGACCATTTCTATTAATTGTTCATCGTGAGATACTAAAATGACTCCACCCTAAAAAATAATTTTAATTTAAAAATAAGCTACACATTTTACAAAAAATTATACACAGTCACATTAATGTGGCATTATAAAGGTTGTCCGAGAGAATCAGTAAACATTGCAGTCGTAAGTGTAATGCATAAACGGAGTAATTTATCCGACGTCCAAACAGGCATGATCATCAATTAGCTTTCGGACCAAGGGTGGAAGCATTTCTGAAACATCTAATTTTGAAAACGGTTCACGTACCACCATGGTAAAAGTATAAACCATCTATGGCAAAAAGACACTATCCAAAATCAGCGACGTGGCAAATGTGGTGCACACGGGCCACAGATGACAGAGGTGAACAACGGCTAAGGAGATGTGTCTTGCCAATAAACATGGAAATGCTGAGCAACTGAAAACCCAGATGAACCAAGAGGCTAGCAACGGTGCCTCCTCAACAACGTTTCAGTGAATATTGCCACATATGGGCCTCCATAGCAGACGCCTGGTTAAAGCACCTATGCTGACTGCAGTTCATGGGTGACAAAGGCTGGAATTTGCACCCCAGTTACCACAACTAGACCTCCACTAAGTGGCAACACATTTAATGGTCCATCAGACAGATGGATGTCAGCATATACAGTGTGAAATGTTGGAGAGCAAACACCCTGCAACAACTGCCAGAAGGGTTCAAGCTGGAGGAGTGAGCATTATGGTTCGGGGAATGTTTTCGTGGCATTCTCTGGGTGCACTCATCATTGTGGAAGGAACAATGGACCAAGAGAAATATGCATCTGTCTTTGCGGACCATGTCCATCAGTACATGCGAACAGTTTTTCCTCAGAATGGTGGCATCTATCAGCAGGACAATGCAAAGTGTCATATAGCTAGCAGTGTACGTGCATGGTTCAAAGAGCACCGAGATGAGTTTTCCGTACTCTTCTGGCCAGCAAACTTGCCAAGCTTAAACCCAATTGAGAATCTGTAGGACCACCTCGACTGGGTTGTTCACACCATGGATCTTCAACAGCGAAATCTAGGGCAGCTGGCCACCGCACTGGAGTTGGCATGGCTCAAAATCCCTATGAACACCTTCAAGAACCTAATCGATTCTCTTCCTGTATGTCTCGTAGCGTCTGCTCTGCGAAAGGTGGTTATTCTGGCTTTTGACAGGACGTCACATTGATGTGACTGGACAGTGTACTTTAGACACACAGAGGTTGTTTATATATTTTAAGAATGATTTCAATACAGAATTTTTTTTAAAAAGGGCAAATGTTTTGGAATAACAACTTCTGACAATGGCTTATTATATAAAATGAGAAATATGATCTACTTTTAAATTTAGTCTTCTCTTAAAATGTTGCACATAAACAAGCTGTCGATTGGAGGGTACTTGCTGAAGGGTGCTTACTGAAGAGAAATATATCCCATAATAAAATATGTTGTGAAATGTATATAAATATTTCTAAATGTAAACTACACTAGAAATGCAACAATGTATAAATTAAATACCAACTAAATTTTTTAACACTATCTAGCGAAGATAAATGGAACTACAGTACCCACTACTTATTAGAATTACTTCTGTTCCGAGCATATTTGAGTTTATTAAGCAGTGATTTTAATATTGCTAATTACAGTTTCAACTTTGAATTTATTTAGGAAGTTAATCTCTAATAATTAATATAATAGTACCGGAATTATTAATCAAAAATTAAATTATTCATGAAAGTTGGAAATTTATTCTATTTATAAAACAATTTATAATTACATACCTGATGAAATTTTGAACTTTCACAAAGAACTACTCTATCCGTATTTGTTTCGCATTGCTTGTCAAGTGTTTCAATTGCATTCTTAAGTTTGTAAAACTGTTGGTAGCTTTGGTAGCTTTTCTAATCTCCATCTTATTGTGCTTTTCTCGATTCAGCTGAGATTGGTGACATGTAGTCACTTCTTCCATATCACTTTCACAGCTTAAATTTCTACAGCTCTTTCAGAACTTTCTATAATACTTTGGGAAACTGCTTCCCATGCATTTATGCATAACCTCTAGCAGAGATATTGACTTAGTTGTTTCTTTCTTATATTTTTACAAGACTGACAGGCATCTATAAAACAGAAAAGTTACGTCTGTTTCGTGTAGCTTGTATTCCCAGATAAAACGTCTCTGCCGAGTCTCAGGCCAGGTTAAAGTCATGCACACAGCAAATAAAAAATTTTTCTTTCAATGGTTAGTTCAAATCCAAAATTTCCATTTCTTGCCAGCAGGAAGATTGTACATTTGTCTACAATGACACTCCCTTTTTCCAGTCAAAGACTGGTAATGTAAGATAATGTAAGGAAGCAATTCATGGTGTTTTCTGAGAACTACCTGCAAACTTAATGTGTACATGCACATCTATTCCCTATCAGCTGTTGTTCAAGGATGGGAATCGGTGTTCACATAAGGATGGGTTCTATTCTATAATCCTGGGAAACATTCATTTATAATTGAAGAACTTGTTTCCAATGCTCGTAGAAGACTGCTTTTGCTAATCATAAAATAAAGGTATTCTGTCTCTCTAAGTTCTATTCCAGACAAAGAGATTTGTAAATTGTCTGATAGGAGCCAGGGCATGCGACTGAAAGATCAATGAATAAACTACAAACAGCTTTTATCACCCACAAACAGTTCATTCCAGATCTAAATAATCAGACTCTCTCCAGTTGGATGAGGAATGAGGTTTTTCAACTGATTAGTATATTTGTTTAGATTTCTGGAAATTTGAACACAATGAGTGGCTGAGTTTGTAAATGAGTTTAATAAGCAGTGGGTACTGTATACCGATTCTTGATAAAGCATGGGCTTAAAACCTAAATAATTGCAACAAAAAAAAAGTTATATTTATTACTAAAAATTAAGAGAAAGGAAAAAAGTATACAAACCTGGTTTCATCCATTCAAAGAAATTATCAGTATGGAGTTCATGATTGTCACTGGACCCTCACAATGGAAAATTAAAAATAACAAGAGTGGGGAAAATGTTAAAATTAACTCAACGTACTATCAAAAGAAAATTTACATCCAATATTTACAAAAGAAATTCCAGTGACAAAGCAACAAGTAAAACACTGCATGCCTTGAAAAAAAAAAGAAAATTGATACAAATATTGTATTTTCATTGTATTCCTGCAAAGTTCCCTGACATTTCACCTACAGATATTGTGCCTTTGGTCTCTTGAAAAGAGCTTTTTCTAAGTGCAAACCCACCATAATTGTTGGGCTCTTAAGTTGTGGCAAGTCAATATCATACTTACCTACTTATGATAGTAAACATTCAGGTTTTTTAAAAAGGAAATCGGGAAAATATTTTTAATGATAAAAACATATACATAGGAAATATATTTTTTCACAATGAATTAACTTTAAACAATAATTAACCCGGCGGAAGTTGCACGAAGAAAAGTTACTAGAGTGGGCGCGTGGGGTATCACATACCCCAATATTTAAAATACGATAAAAATAGTTTTATTTACTTTTAAAGCTGTTTTTCTTGTTCTTGAGTATTATAAATACGTGAATGATAATTGGGTTTCAAATAATTAATTTCCAAAATAATCTTAGAGTTAAAATTAAGATAAAGGAAAATAATAAAAAAATAAACATCATGCCTCTAAGTTTCATTGCATCTCTAATATAGAATGCATATTTTATTTCTTCACACTTTGAACGAAATAAATTCATGTGTTCTTGGAACAGAATGTTTTCACATTTTAAACATTGCATTCATGTTGTTCTGTCCTTGGCACGAGGGCAAAAAATTTATCACATTTTTCGTAGTTAGTTGTTTTGAATTTCATGTATTCGTTTTAATTCTTCGTCGAAACTTCTGCTTTTGTTTTCCATGCAGTACGTCAGTTTCTTGGTAAAGTATTAATCTCTGATCTTTGTTCAATACTTTTTTTATTAATTGTAATGCTAAGTCCTTCAAAAACAGACTTCTGTTTCTGGTTGGTGGATTAGTAGTTGAATGTAATATAATTCAAAAATTTATTACAGCAAAATTCAGTGCAGGAAAAAAAATTACCATTGGCCACTTCCTTGTTATTCTGGCAATTGAATAATTGACTGACATTTCATCCCCATAGCCACTGCTCCTTTAGTCATATTATAAAAACATATAATTCCTGACGTTTTATTTTATCCAATAGTATCATCTATAGTATGATCATTATATAATGTCTAAAGCATAAGAACAGTTTTTCCTTTTTTAGGAACATCAGGAATTAATGTTTTATCTTTTTCAAAACCAAAACAGTGTAGAAAATATTCCTAATTTCATCTTCAGTTTCTGAAATGCAATCTTCATCGCTTTCAAATATTTCTAATAAATCTCACAGGTGTTGCATCTCCAATTCATAGGGAGTCATTCTTTTTACTTAAATGCAGTTAGAAATTTTTAAAAATTTAATGTCAAGTACTTTAAAATCACTTGCGAGTAGAAATATTTACTGTTACAACTTATGCGAACAAGTGCGTGGGGTGTGTCATACCCCGTTCCAACAAAATACGGATAAATCTTTTTATGAAACACACAGGCAAAGAAAAAGCGGTTCTAAAAGTCAACCAGAACTAGAAACTCAGCTACTGAAAGCAGCAAAGAATTTCAGTTTCGCAAGTTAGGAATATTCCACTATGTAGGGTTGGGGTATGATTGATACACCTCACACGCTTTCCCACGGGTTAATTAGCACCTGAAAATCCAGTACTAATTCTTAAATGCAAGTAGTTCTATTAGTCAAGTTTTCTAGATAAAACATTTCTCTAAAGATAGCCAGCATGTACATCATACGTATTTCAATATTATGCAGCTGTAAGAACTCCTTCAATTTTCCCTTCCAACAAGATTCCTTTTAACACGATAATAAATATCAACAATGTGTTCATCCACACTTATTGGTAAGGAAGCTGCCACTCTTTCAGTTGCTACATTTAAGAGGTGATAGGTATGGACACCTCATAGTTTGCAAACTGGCACATTGTTAGCACCACATCCTAAGCAGTTATCCAGAGGAATTATATTTACTTTGAAAATTTTAATAATTAGCTATGTTATATTAAAGCCTGTCAAATCTCCTTCTAGTATGGAGACAAAAAGTAAACTACTATATTTTTGAAAGCTCTAGATTAAAAAAGAAACAATTGGATATAGTTTCACATTGTCAGTAACTGATGATTTATTTTTAAGACTTATTTCTTTAACATTTTCCAATGTTTTTGCCCTTATATTTGAGTATTTAAGTGATTTCACTATCAAGAAACATTTTTTTCTAAATAAAGCTGCAGCGTTTGGTGGCAGGTTGTGCTCCAGTAAAAGTGCAGAAAACAGCATTCATAACATTTGGGCCCATTGTTCACATAGAAAAATTTATTAATTTTTTCAGTACAACTTCAATTGTATATGTACATGTTTAAGAATATTGGCCCTTCCACTGTGCAAAATCAAAATGACAAACAGTACAAATCACAAATGTATTGCATTTCCTTGACAAAATAATAGAACAGTCATCTGTGTACAATGTTTGAAAGCGGTATGAACAAAATAACCTCAATTTTGTTTTGTGCTCACTAGCTTAATATATGCCAGATGGCCTGCAGCAATGTTTGATGCTCATTGGAGAATTGTAACATGACGTTTTCAAGTATCTGACTTTGGTTTTCATTTATGTGTAACCTTGGGGGGGGGGAGACCACGCACTTTCAGATGCCAAAAATCACAGTTTTGAGTCCAAGCAAGCTACATAAAAATAACGAGACATTTTTAAGAAGGGAGAGTCAGGAGAATTATGTTGTAAATCGGGCTGGCAGGCGTACAGTCAGAAATTGAAAGATTTGGCAACTCTGCAATACTCATGGAAATTTTACGAAAAGTCGTTCTATCAACAGACAGATAGTGCAGAAGAAAAGCTATCAGATCAAACATTAAAAAAAAAATACTCATTGCATTTTAAACATTAATTAAATGGCCCTGATTTAATGGATTAATTGGGGGTCTGTAGATTTCTGTAGATCATAATACTGAAAACGTCACCCAAAAGCACAGTTAGAATTTAAGAATTCCTACATTTTACAAGAAAGGGTTCTTTTCCATTATGCACCTGCTACACATTTAGGCAAGTTGTAAACAAGCAATGAAATGTTTTAAATTAATTACACACAGAGAGAAATAGTTTGATCCCAAGATGGTTTTGTCTGGATACTGGGTCTTGAATGTGTGTTTGGTTATTCTTTCATAGGCACCAAAAAGGGTAAAAGGTGCATAATGGAAAAGTGCCCAGGAATTAATTTTTCTATTACACGTAACTCATTCACAATATAAAAAATAAAAATCAAATACATACTGTAAAATTCTGTAGAGCAATACCAAGTGCATCGACTGTTTCTACATCAAGATGGTTGGTAGGTTCATCAAGCACCAAAAAATGTGGACTGTAAAAAAAATTTTAATATCTATTAAATACACAGCAAATTTTGGGGGTCTTTTTTTTTTTTTTTGTTAACAAGTGCCAGTTTGAGCTAAAATTTAGATATCATCCCTAATAATATGTACAGATACTTCAAATCTCTGAGAAGTTTGTAAATGTATGGTGTCTGTGCAGCATGGATGCATTCAAAATATGTAGTGAGGTAGAAGTCCTCTCGGGGGGACTGGTGGTTACACAATTATGACTGGCACCCTGTTAACAAAAAAGAACAATTATTCTAACACAATGTATCACTTATTTGAATAGATAACTTCACTGTTTTTGTTCACAGTCTCTTAAAATATAACTCTCTCTAAACTTCAGCCTTTCAAAAATAAACATGCACAATAAATTTAAAGGCAAAATACTTTTTATGTTTGCTTTACAAATTTCAGCAGACACATAAAATATTTTATTTTAACAAGCTGCATGGCACACTAGTTTTTCAATTTCAGAATGAATTATTTTTCAGTCTGTTGCATGACTGACACCGAAATTAGAAAAAATATTTAATGGAATCTTTTATTATCTACAATGAAGTGTTAAAAGATTATAAAGCTGCAAACTGAGTGATTCAAAACATATATACACTTCTAATAACAACATCAGTATAAAAAAATAAAAGTTATGTACCATATGTTATGCACCTAGGTTATAAAGGTCAATTAGAATTTTAATTGATTATTCTACCATTAGTTTTTTTTTTTTTTTTTTTTTGTTTGTTTGTTTTTTTGTTTTTGTTGTTGTTGTTGTTAATAATCTCATTTAGTTTAGACAATCAATTCAGATTTCAACTTAAAGAAAGCTTAAATTATTTGAAAATATGATATACAGTAGGTGATATTTATTTTTAGACATTGGTACTTTTGAAATTCATTTACACAGATCTTGTTCAAAATACTGAAACACAGACTTCATATATAATTTTTTCTCTAGTTTAAGCCCTCCTTGTTGCAACATAAATATCTTCGAAATATTCTTTGCTATAATATAATTTGTTCAAAAAACTGGTAAATGGTAACTCGCATAATAATTTTGGACACTCCAAATTTTTGTTGAGATGTTTTGGTAGATAATGTTTTTTATTGTATTTTTTTAAATTTTAAATGAAAATACCTCACAAGGATTATCACCTACATTTGGAAATTACTTGTTTTTCCATATCTGAAGTGACGATGGAAATTGCATGGAACTGTTAAAAAGTGTCACTGAAGCCATATTCGAAGCTAATACAGAGAAATCAGCAATTCATTCTAGAAAAAAAATCAAACAAGAACCAAAAAATTAGTAAAGCTCTTAACAAATTTAGATGAATGGTCTGCAGTAAGAGTCATTTAAGACGTATGGATACAGTAGGCAATCAGCAAGAAAATTCTTTGTCAACAAGGAAAATATGCCTGGTCTGGTTTAATAACTAATATAACAAAATAGTGAAACATTCAACCTCATGAAATTAAATCAATCAGTAATCATTAAGCTTCACATTAACTTACACAAATGTTTATTCAATAAAATGTATACTTTAATTTGACCTTGCAGTTTACTGTACAACTCATTCTTTATTATTTACACTATATTTAATAGTGTTAGAATTCAAATTTATGCCAAAATATATTTAAAATCTCTTTCTTTTATCTCTCATAGATCTGTATCACAAAAACTGCTGGAATATAATGTATATACTGCTGTAAATTATAAAATGTTGCATATTAAATACACATTATGAGAGAATTCTAAATGTATACAGAATCAAAGAGATCCATACACTTGGAAAAATCATCTGAAGACTTCAATATTGAATGCAAATACTTATCTGCCAAAATGTAAATGACAGAAAATGGATAGCACAAAAATCTAAACCACATAGGAAACATTCTTCTCATAAGGTTTTTCAAGCCCACTTCCAAACTCTCCAAATGCTGTGTTATGCATTTCAGAGTATCAGCATCAATTTTAATAGTCGAACTTGTTATAAACTCATGAAGACTGTCTTGACTCTTGAGAATGTAGAATTAGGCATAGCTAAACAAGGTGCAGTGCATATCCCCACCAAACTCCAGTGCAATGCATACACCCTTGAAAAATATTCCCCTACCTCTGTGGGTACACGTACCACACTTTGGGAAACACTGATATAGAGCAAACTGCACGCAATAAACCAGTTAGGGTTGCAAGAACAGAATCTAACAGTATTTATTGGTCTCATTTACATTTTCTAACTCTGATTTTTACATGGTCAGTAATGTACTATATGCACTTAGTAACATGAAATATATTTAATACTTCAACATTTTATAAAATTGTTTGCCACTTAACCTATTTAAAAATATAATTTTAAAAAATCAAACAACAGAATTCTTACTTAAGCATAGCCATAGCTGCAAAAGCCACTCTACTTTTCTGACCTCCTGAAAGACTAGCAACTGATTGTAAGGCTAAATCACCAGTAACACCGAAACATCCGAGCTGCCTTCGATACTCTTCTGAAGATCTACCTACATAAGATTCAAGCACAGAAATTGCCAGTTATAATTCATACTGTGTACAAAGAACTTAAGTTAAAATATTAAGTAATTATTGATGTACTATATACTTTATTTAATAAATTTAAAATCAAGTAATTAAAACGTATATGACTTGCGCTAAAGCTGCAAAGTAATAAACTAATAATTTATAATAAGAAAACTTTCCATATACCATCTCCAAGGAACACAAATTCAGTTAAAAACTATGAATGAAAAAAAATTTTTTTAGTCAGAATGCCATGCTCCATACTAGAAGTTGAAATTACTATTTAAAATACTAATTTAAATTCTGACTAAAAAAATTTCTTTTCATTCATGTTTTTAAACTGAATTTGTGTTCCTTGGAGATGGTATATGGAAAGTTTTCTTATTACTGGTATAAATTATTATGTATTATTAGTTTATTACTTTATTTAATAATATATATAATGCTTATTAAATTATGGTAATAATACTTTCACTTTTAACTTATAATTTATAAACATTATATTATTATATTTAATAATATATATAATGCTTAATAAATGTATGGTAATAATACTTTCACTTATAATTTATTTGGATATTACACTACCTGGAAATCTTCTTGCAAGAAATTCTAGAGAGCTAAGATTCATGTCTAACTGATCAACATGGTGCTGAGTGAAATATCCTATCACTAAGTTACGATGGCTGTGACGAATGCCTTTCGTTGGTTCAAGCTCTCCAATAAGTATTTTCAACAATGTCGTTTTGCCAGAACCATTATCACCAACCTATTAAAAATAATGTAAGTGAGAAGGAGAATACAAACGGTCTTTGTCTGAATTTAATCAATTGAATAAAAATAAGCTTTCATTGAAATAAAACCACAACAATGAAAAACTAGAAACAAAGAAATGTAAAATTTTGTATAAATCTTAAAAACACAAAACAATTAATGCTTTTCAAGGGGAACAAATTTCATCAACAGCAAAACATCACATGACCTCAACTGATGAGTAGCAACTATTATTTTGCTAGTAACAAAATGTTGTGGTGGTGTGGTGTATTTAATTAAGGCAAAGCACACTAGGGCTATCTGCCTAAGGGGAGGGATGCCTTCGTGGAGGACTTTCTAAGGGAAACTGGCTCGTATACACGCTACACATGGGGAAAACCACGAAAACGCCTATGCAGCCAGCCCGTTCGCGGGATTCGAACCTCGGACCGAACTACCAGTGTTCACCGACTTTTACCGCTCGGCTACTGGTGAGCCTCTAGTAACAAAATGAGAAATTAACTTAGCATTTATCAAGTCAAATTTTGCAATAGTTATTTAAAATAACTTCTGTGTAAACATGATAAAGATAAATCAACACTTCTGTTTTTAGATTCCAAACTTCAGTTTTACAATTTAAAGCATGCAGAGATTAGAATTAGAAAATAATCTTCCTTAAACTATAACAAGATTTCACACAGTCACTCATAACTTCTTGACTTTCTTCATAACTCTTCTAAACTGAGTTGTTTAATATAAAATAATAATTTGAATATAACAATACAATTCTTTTTTTTTCCAAGCATTACTTACTACTAACAAGTCATTTATCTATATATACCATAATCAAAGAAGGAAAAAAAAAACTGAAAGCTTTCTGATTTTGCATTACACCCATGTTATGCCATTATGTTATTCAAAATTTGATGGCTCTAGTTCAATTGTTTTATCACAGTGCAAGAAATATACATACATTTATGCAGATTAATCATTATTTAATTAAGTATAATGCAGGGTGATAATATTTAGTGGCAACAATTTGAAAATTGAAACGGACATTTAAAGTTTTCAATGCAAAATGCCACAACAAAATTAACAGCCTTTCTGGGCTAATGCCCCTTGGGCTAAAAAAACTTGACTATAAGGATTTCCCTAAACCTGATTCTGATTAGAATTAAAGGTAAGTTACCTAATTAAGTACAGTATTTATATTAAATGAGGTTAAGGTCATTGACACCTGCTTACTTTCTTTGTTTTCAGGCATAACAGTGACCAGCATAGCGGATGCAAGCTATACTGAAATCATTCAGCTAGACATAGCTAATATAATTAATGGTATTATGCGGTTTAGTTTACACATACAGTAATTACCTGTGTGATTCATTTAATATTTAGACAGCATAATTATACTACATAATTATTACATTTTATAAATTTTGTATTCTAATCAAATTCTTTTAAAACTTTAGTTTAAAGTCACTAGGTCATATTTTACAAAGACCCAGTGGTGGACAGTTGAGTTAAAACATGCTTAACCAGACAATAGAAGAATAAAGCATCTCCCAAACGTTTCTGGTCAACAGAATCCAGAATTATCCTGTCTCACCTAGTGATCCGATATTAATATCTGGTGTATTATAAATCCTAAAAATTTCATAATTTTAAAGACCAGTAAATGACAAACAGCATATTTTTAAAATTATCCATAATAATATGAGAAAAAACTATGCATTTGAAACATTCTTTGTAAGAGGGTTAACATAAAATTTATATTTCACATACTTTTACTAAAATACTCATTTTCACTGATTTTTAATAAAAAAATCATAATTCACATATTTTTAATTCACTTTGATATTCATTTTGACTGACCAAATTTTTAGTTGCGACAATCATTCTGACTAATTGAAGTTTAATTATTTGAAGTTTTAGTGCATATTTCCTATAAGGCAATAATCAGAGTGTATTAAAAAATAGAAACACTGTAGAGTTTACATTGATGAAACTTCCTTCCTAATACTGTTACATTTCTACGGGCTTGTGGATTTGGAGTGATTGATGACAACACCTGATGAAGCATCAAAACACAATTTATTTAGCCAGTACTATTCAGGACAGCTCCAAAAACATATTTACAGTCATCAAAAAACTACAACAAACGTGCTGAAACAATCAGCAACACAACCTTCACGCTATAATGGTGAAGACAGCTTCACAGCAAAGCACCAGAGTACTGCTTCCGACTCAGTTTGGTCATTCTCGGAACCCTGCGTACTCTTGAGACTCTCCATGCTACAACTCACGATGTCCTTGACGATACACTCACTAGACTGGCAATACTCGACAGATTACGAGACACTACTGTACTTCACATACCAGCAGGGTTTATATAGCTTTTGGGCTGCCTTTGAGAACATTCTGGGCAAAACCGGTAAGAAGGTTCTCCATCCCTCCATGGCATATCACTAATTTTGTTGCCAAATGTGGCAACCCTGCTGTGCCTTGCCATTTTATGGCAACCCCATAGTTGGACACTTCATAACAATACAAATATGACAGCTAATTAAAGAGAAGATTTGCTTTTGGCAGGGTTCTAAGAGTAGTATGTCACATTCCTTTTATCTCTTCCACGGCAGGAAAAACCTTCCTTTGAAAAATCTCCAGAGTTTTGTGACGCGGAAAAAATTGCAAGGATCTGGAGAATAAGTTGGATGAATAAGTAAACAGTCATTTTCAGGACACAGTGGTTTTATGAAGTGGTTATTGACTGGTAGAAAGATGTATTATTGGGCAAATAAATGTTTCTTAATAACATAAGTTTAAAATTCATCTGCTTAATTCTCAATAATTTAAGTCAGCTACTTTGGGGGGGGGGCATTGCTTTGACACCTCAGGTTGTAACTAATCTCAACCTTAATCTAAACATCTAATTAATCTCCCCAAGGTGAATAATGCAGTGAGATAATCGTCCCATGTTTAGTTTAGACTCCAAGAACACCAAGTGAATACAATAATAGCAAATGCAATTCAATATTTATTTGCATTGTGGCCTGGTAATTTAAAAGTAATGTGTTAACAAACTTCTGCTGTTTGTGCTTGAGAATATAATAGTACTTTAAATTTTTGCAAATAGTAAATTAGAATTTGTACGGTTGCTATTCTAACCGGGAAAGTAAAGCTAAAACATTACAGATCCTAGACAGTCAGTGAGTTATCGCTAGGTCTTAAATGACTCACAAAATCCATATATTTTTAATTAAAAAAATACCCACAACTGGGAAACTTACTATACAAATTCTGGATCCACTATTTGCGGACAGATTTACATTGTACAACACTGGCTTTGAGGCAGAAGGATAAGTAAAGGACACTTCATCCAACTGGAGTACAGGTGGCTGTAGAGGCTCAGGATTTGGAAACCGCAGAACAACCGCAGTTTCCTTTTCCACAGGTTTCAATTCTGGTCTTAATAAAACATGAAATAATTTAAAGCTACACCTGTGATATGATTGAAAAAATGGCACATGTTTACAATAATGAATACAAAGAATGATATAAAAAAATATTAAATATTTATAATGGCAAGCTTCTAAAATACGTAGGGAATCCAGAAAATAAGTTTCCCTATTTAAAAAAAAGAACTCGCACTTTCAGGAACATATTCATTGGAAACAAGTACAGGAATGTTCGATATTTTTCAACATAACAACCACCAGAATTGAGATACTTGTCGTATCGTGAGATCAACTTTTCTATCCCTCTGTCATACAACTCTGCCGCCTGTAAATGTAACCAGCATGTGACAGACGTCTTCAGCTCTTTGTCGTTGCCAAAATGCTCACCATACAGCCACCAGAGGACAGGAATTTCTTGAGGCGCAAGAAAATGTGAAAATCCCTGCGAGCAAGATCAGGGGATGTAGAGTGGATGATCAAACAACTCCCAGCCGAATTCCGTCAAAACAGCTGCTGTGAGTCGAGCCGTATGTGGACAAGCATTGTCATGGAGAAGCACAACACCTGCAGTAAGCATTCCACACCTCTCGTTTTGAATGACACGTCACAATTTCCGCAGTATTTCACAGTAATGGCCAGCGTTTACTGTTAAACTACATGGAAGGAAGTCAATGTTCTCCATCATGCACTGGCGCACAAGCTCAATAAGATCATCATTGATGAGGGATAGTTCCCACTGCGCTCTTCATCATAGACACTTTGTCGACCTTCCGATAACTGCCTACACCAGCGAAGCACCGTCTCCTTACTCATGATGTCAGCCCATAGACCTGATGATCAATTTCAATTGGTGCAATGCTTTGTGCATTCAAGAACTTTTATCACCAGCCGAACCTCGCAGGGAGCAGGAGAAGGAATAAGTTTCCATTTCGGACCACTGCTACCATGCTACTGGCATGAGGCGGCACCTGTCCGGCTGGCATGTGATTGATACATCATAGTTCTGTTACGCATGCGTAATTGACACAGCTAATTACATTTACTTTAAAGGGGAGAAACATCGAAAAACTTACTTTCTGGGTGTGCCTCGTATTTAAAAATTTTCATTCTATTATTCTCGTTGATCTGGTATGATCATAACATAGCTTATAAATTTGAATCCTAAAAGTATTTTATGAAAGACTTAGAGTAAGGGAATAGTCACTGTGTATAAAAAATTTAGCTCCTCAATGTTAATTGAATTTGATATATTGTTACAGTTTTTGTATTGATTAAGCTATTTTTAAATAGAATTGATTAAAGTTGTTTTATATTACTATGGAATGCAGCATGAAACTTATTTGAAGAGAAAGCTATGCCGAAAAAATAAAAAATATAGGAGCATGTGTATATAATAAATAGATAATCTCATAATTGTATGCTTTTGCTTTCCATAAAAATTGAGAAAAGACGATAATGTGCTCGTGCTTAATTAAAAAGCTTATAAAAGCTGGAGGAAAACATCTCAATTCACTAGTAGTTGTTGTTTACTTATTGCTGTAAATGATTGTAGCGAATTCGCGGTGAAATCAGATTAGCTTTCTCTGTTTTGAATTAAGTTCTGTTAAACGTTTTAGTCGTTTAACAGATAACTACTGTGAGATATTGTACTAATATCTCTAAGGAAATTATTAAGCATTTTGTTTTTAGTTGTTGTGATAAAAATAAAATTTATCACTTTTCATCGGACTTGTGCATTTAATCCATCACGAACCTGTATGCACGCAACAATACATTTATTAATATCTCTTTTTTTTTTTATTAAACTTACTTGATTTCTTCTTCCAGAATTTGAAATTTAGGCTTAATCCAAATATAATTCATACATTTTTTTAAGATTTATAATTAAAATTTGTATTTAAAAATATTTTAAATTAATTTTTCGAAAACAATTTTGTATTATAACCTATAAAATGTTTAACATCATTTTAAAATAGATGTTAAGTCGTTATAAACAGTTGTTCATAAATAGAAGCTTAAAGCATAAAAAACCAGTGATACAAGAATGAAAATGTTAATTTTAGCTTTATGTTATTTAAATATAAGACTAAAAATAACTGTAAATAAGATTATTTTATTTATAATACTATTTAAATTAGGACATATCCCATGTTTTCATTATGCTTGGCTTTAATTAAAATAATCGCTCTTCGTCATTAACTTCCCAACCTATGGCAACTGCTGACTACTAAAAACTGGTAGTTTAGGCAGAGTTCAAATCCAGGCGAACCAGCTGGCTGTATGCCTTCTTTTCTTAATTTCCCTACCTCCCCACATGTAATGTAAATAAGAGTCAGTTTTCCTTAGAACACCTTAAAGCTGACAGCCTTTCCTTCGGCCACTTTGCCAGTTTCAATTAACCGAGCTCAGTCTTGTCAAGCACAAGTTGATTTTCGGTCAATTAAAAGATTTTTAACAATGTCGATCTTTCTTTGCTCACTGGCTAATATATGCCAGATGACCTGCAGTGGTGCTTGACGCTGATTGGAGAACTTGAACACAAGATTTTTAGGACACATGTGCCATAATATATAAACCTTGCCCAGACACTAGGTTTTCAGACACACATGCCATAATGTCCAACATAACCTTGTCTGAACACATTTTCAGATACACATGCCTAAAGTCCTGCTAACATGCAACACTCTTTCATGCAGCTATCGTTTATATTAACCCGGCAGAAGGTGCGCAGCCAACACTGACGTTGGAGATCGCACGGGGTGGCAGTGTCACCCCAAGCAGTTTCATTAGGAAAATGTGTTATATATTTTATAGAAATCATTTGATTATAAACAATAATTGCAATATTTCCTTTAGAAACTATACTTCTTTACTTAAAAAACTTATTTCAATATTTAAGAAAAAAAATCCATTCAAAATAAGTATATAGCTAATCAGAAGTCAGAAACTAACACACATTTCTGGCAAACGTAGGAAGAATGAATTTTACATGAAAAATTATCACATATTTTGCAAGAAATTGTAGTTTTATTGTCTTTGGATCTTTGGGCACATAGCACGTCGGCCTTTGTCGAGTTTTGGTTTCTTTGATGGGTGTTCTTCTGATACACTAGAAGTTCGCATTATCGATGCCTTCACGAACCACTTTAGGAAACATTGACATATATTTTTTGTAATCTCTATGTAAGGCACTATATAAGAGATATAGTCAAATTTTGTAGGAATTTTTTACTATTTCCATATTGTAAGGGAGGGGTCTTTGTTGGAGAACAAAGCAACTCGGGTATGTTATTGCACTGACGTTCAACACAGTAAAAGACGACCATCGGCCATCTGTTGGTTTTTTCGAGATGTCGAATATAACGATAACATCTCATCAGCTTTATCTACGCCACCTTTTGTTGCATTATGAAAGTAAATTATTTCTGGTTTCTTTGTATCATCACTTTTATCAATGGCCATCATCGCAATGCATTGTAGATAACAAAACTACACATTTTAATTTTTTAGGCACATACGATACTTAGTTGTCACGTTCTTTTAGAATCCCAAATATAGATAGAATAACCGTTCCTAGTTTTTGTCTGGATGAACTTGGTGGGAATTTCATCCTTGTTTCTCTTCAAGGTTCCTACAATACAGATTAACTTCTTTGATAAAAGTTCTTTTGCTAGAGGATAACTCGTATACCAATTATCCATTGTTACATTTCTGCCCAAACAAAGGGGTGCACAGGCATTTTGCAATTTCAAATGGTGAATTTTTAAATCTAAAGGGACCTTCCGACTGTTGTCCTGTGCATATATATCCATGTTATTAACTGCAGAAAGTTCTTGAAATCTACTAAGGCAAATATTTTGATTCCATACTTCGATGGTTTGCTGGGTATATATTGACGAAAATGGAACACCGCCCTTGAAATTTCTCTAATTTTTCTTTGATAGTAAATATTTACCAATGAGGTATATCTTTTGGCAATTTTCATTCAAAACGGTAAAAAATTCTCTCACAGCCGCCAGTTTGTCCAATTTTTTTCCGAGCTTCACGATTTGTCACATTGTCTAACCATAGACACCTGAGAAGAAAATTAAATCTTTTATTAACATTGTGTTCCGTAAAATTTCAATGCCTGATCCAATTTTCAGTAGCTCACAAATCTTGCATATTTTTATGTGACGATTTATGCAAGCCGTACAGACGTAAAAGCCCAAAAAGTGCTCTAATTTTCATATCATTTGTCGTAATATTTTTCCAACATAAATATTTGTACACTCTACAATGGATTGTATCATTTTAGCATTGAAAAACAATTCTCAACTTTCTAGAAGCTCCTTTATATTGTGTGCAGTTTCTTTTAATCCTGCTAAATGAGTTATTATAATTTGAGAAGACCTTTTTCACTTTTTGATTTGGTTTCCCATTCCGCAACTTCATCTAATACAGTTCTCAAACGTTCCATCTCTTTTTCATGTTCGGTAAATTTGCGTTTGTAAACCATTATCTATCAAATAATACAACAGAACCACAACGGCAACACTCGAGAGCACAAAGCTAAACTTCTACTAATGAAAAATTTTGAAGCAGTAACGGTCACACGGGGTGACTGAGTCACCCCATTCCCTCATGGATTCCAAGAAACGATTGCTTCTCTCGCAGAAAAGAAAAACAAGCAAAAATAACAATACACATTCCAAGGGGAGTGTCAAACAGGAGGATACTAAAAGGATGATTCATTAAAATGAAATATTTCTAGTTAGGATTGTTGATTTTTGACGCATGGGGTGACTCTGTGCCCCGCGCGACTTCTCCCGGGTTAAGGAGGAATGGGATATAAAACAGTTTCGCCCTCAGGACCAGTTCAGATGCACATCGTCTTCCCTCCCTTTACCCATAAGCCACTGCCAGCAATGATGTTACACGAGCGAAAAGAACAAACAGATTGGCGGATTTCTAACGTTTGCTTACATCTTTTTTGACATAGTTTACTATTGCTATTGCTATTGAATGCCATCGGAGCACCATTAACTTTTTAATTAATGAAAATGCACCTAAATTAATTTAAAATGCAATTTATGTACAAGATCAAATGGTTAAAAGAAAAAAAAAATCTTCTATGCTGCTGAACTGTTTTAAATAAAATGTTTTGCGGCTGTTAAAATTTCAAACATTGCTTTTTGAAAAAATGAATAAAACAAATTAGTATTATTAATATTAATTATAAATGTTTAATTATTGATTATAAATGTTTTAGAAAATATATTATAATTAATTCATATATTAAAATTAGTTTGAATGTGTTTTACAAAGATTTTAAATAAAAGCTTGTAGTTTATGTTTATATTAACCAGTTGAATAGCACTAGGCTTTATTATATATATATATATGTATGTATTGAAATTCAGAAATAACGTTTTTAAGAAATTTGAAATGATTTTATGACCATTTAGACAGTTTATATTCTTTAAACTGTGTTTTCTCAGTTTGCATTTTTTCGATAAATCCTTTTATTTAAAGTCCTAAAACGTATATTGATATGGACTAAATTATTTAATATTTTTACCGCTTATCTAAAATTATATACTTCATAGATACAGTAATGGGTTTTGCAAACTACTGAAAAGAAAAATTATTTGAAGTGAAAATGTGATTGAGATCATATTTGTTTCAAAGTTTTTACATAAAAACATGTTTTCAATTTTTCTCAAAAACTAATTCATTAATTGCAAAATCAATCCTTAAGGTTATTAGGAACACTGTAATAAATACAATAAAAAAATTGAAGGAAAAACATTGAAAATCGTAGGAGAAAAAAGACATTTTAATTAATAAACATTTCTTCCAAAAATTTAAATTAAAAAAAAAAATACTGGCAATTTTTTTTTTTTCCAGCTTAAAATCATTTTTTCTTACAAAACCATTTAATAATATTCATAAAAAGTAGATGAAAGTTCTTAATTAATAATAAAAAAAAGTCATTCAAAGGTACCGCGTCTCCTGGTCGATATGAGCGACATAAGCCGATATGAGCATCTTTAGTTTTAATTGGAATAGTATTTCTAGAATACCAGCATCAGATAACCTTGTCTGTACTTGTTTACAAATTTCCGTATTTCATACGGTTCCATCTAATTTTTTCGATGATATAGCATCCCCAGATATATATCAAAACGATTGTTTCTCTGACAGCAGTTGCACGTCAGCCATGTTGTTTGCTAAAATTAAGTGAACGGTGCAATCGTGCAGTGCGGTATGGGAAATCTCCCCATTTGCCCTGCTCCGGAGAGGTAGAAACACTCAACCAAGTTTTATCTCCAATTCTGAAAAGCAGTTAATGCTTTTTTGCCGTGTGAATGGGACATGTTAGAAGAACTAGTTTTCGCTGCTGGTCGAATCTGCTCTTGTGAATGGGGCTATAATGTCTGACTGATGAAACAACTTTCGTTTTCTCTTATATGTAATCTGGAGAAAAACTGAACGCTTTTCTCTAGATTACACATAAGAAATCACTTTTCTGGTTGCATATATTGAAATTTAAGAAAAAACTACATAAAACTAGTGTGAAATTTTAAGAATAAGAGAAAGTCTGGAGAAATCGAGTTGGTGGGAGTTTGGAAATCAGACGTCTCCTGCCTAAAAATCAGGAGAGTTGGCAACTGTGTTTACAGCACTTTGTCTTAGATCAAATATCATACAAAGTTTTAAATTCCTTTTATTCTGTCCAAAAAATAATGCCTATGTGATCAATTGATCACAATGAGTATTATTAAAGAAATGACTATTATATATTGAAAATTATTAGAATTATATCATGGTACATAAAATATCAAAGTTCTCACATGCCTAAGATATTTCATTACTATTTTTCTGAGTTAATAAAATACAATTTCTTACTGAAATATATACTTATAGAAAAAAGAAATTTTCACTATTTAAGATCTGGAATTAATAGTTCCAAATCTTTTTGGGCAGAATTGCACTCCAAATTTAAAGAAAGGAAATATATTTCAAATTATTAGTGAGTAAAACATATAACTAAATATAAGCCTCTAACAAATTTGAAAACTTTCTTTTACCTATTACATACGCTAAACCTCCCTTTAGCTTATGAGACAGGATAATTTTCTCTAGGCAGTTACGCAAGCAATAATGGATATGTTGTAAAAGTTCATTCTATTTTCTGTTGCATTCTTTTCATTCTATTTTTCATACATCTTTTATATATATTTATATGATTTCCATAAAACTAGCATCTATTCCAAATATCAGATACTTGCAATATATCAACATACACATATATCAGAATGATTAAAACTCATAAAATTCAAGTATAAAAATCATAATTATTCAAGAATAAACAGTTTACGAAGAAAGTATGCTTGCAAAATAATCCATAAAACTTAACTTTTTATTACATTTCAATAGTACATGCTTTATACCACAACTTTTTTTTAAATTTAAAGATTTTAATAAAATTTTAAATTTTTTATCAGGTTTACATGGAAGCATAAGCAGTACAGCATATGGAACAGCTGCTCATAAATTTAAGAATTATCAGATAAATGAGCCAGTCTTTAAATATGCTTTTATAGAAATGATCAAATACACTATAAAGATGCAAGGAAAAAGTGTTTATTTTAAGACACAACAAATGCTATAAAATTATACTCACAACTTGTCTAGCATTTTGATCTTGCTTTGCACTAATGAAGCTCTTTTTGCATTATAACGAAACTTGTCGATGAATTCCTAAAGAAAGAACATGCAATACATTAATACAAAACAGATCTTGTGCTTTTCTATGAACTTTGTTTTTCTGAATCATTATTAGATAAAAAAAATTAATAGATTTAAATAACAATATACTAAAATATGATGTAAATAACAGTAAACTAAAATATGGCAACTAAAAAGAAAATTGATTATTTTTCTTTTTCACCCAGAGACAAATTAAATTACAGGATTTTAAATATAATTCAGCTAATATAATTCAAATATCTGTTGAATGACAAAGATGATTTTTACAAATAGAAAACAGCAAATACAAAAATTTGCTCTTTACAACTATCCTATGAATGTATCAAATACACATTCACATTCATAGCCTTTCAATAACATAAAATGGAAATTCATTTCAAACATAGATCAAAATTAAAGTATATTACCTGCACATGAGCTTTATATTGCTGCTGTGCTTCATATTCCCTTTGTTGATGCTTTAACTTTTCAGTCATAGTTTTGACAAAATTTTCATAATTACCTCTATAAGCTTCTATATGTTGTGAATGAAAATGCAATATATCTGTAGCTACTGTGTCCAAGAATCGACGGTCATGTGAAACAACCAAAATGGTAGATTCCCAAGTCTTAAAAAAAGTGATAAATAATGAATATTAAATACATACACTATTGTATGACAACAATAAATCATTCTACAAATTAATATAAATTAAAAAAATTCATAGAGAATTTCCTTTTTTAAATACTCAAAACTTCATTTTAGTGGAAAAATATATATGTCTTTAACATATTTTAACCCAGGATTGCTTGCGCTGTGTATGATATATCCATTCTTCCTCTCTTTTACCTTTAAATCTGCACAAAATATAAAAGAACAAAAACAAGGAAGACAGAATATAGTTTTAAACATATATTAAAAATTTTACCCTTAATTTGTACAGTTTCGGCAAATGCATGCCATATGGTCCATGCATCCATGTTTTTGACATTTTTCACAGACAAACTTAGCTTTTCTGTCTTTTATGGCCTCACATTCAGCACATCTTTTATATGTCGTCTTTACCTTCTTAGCAGGAGGTGTATCGGCCTCAATGTTGCCTAATTTTACTTTTAGGCTTTGTAGGAGCATTGCTTGTTGACTTCTTATCTTTTTATAATCTTCTATCACTTGAAATGCCAGTATTTTTAGAAATGAGCATAGAGATCAATCCCCAGTAGGTGGTTTTATTGATAACAGAAATTACGCATGAATTTATTGCAGCACCATTCAACATGGAATAAAAAAACGTACCCAGCACAATCAAACCCAGGTTAATATTCCTTATGCATATATTATACTTAATATTACTTTTGTATTTTAACCCGCGAGCACACGCACCTATCTGACGAACACGAGAACACGTACCGGGTATGTCATACCCGAATAAAAAGTTTGTAATTAAAAATTTGCCGAATAAAATTAATGGGTTTTTAAAAGAAATTAAAATGTAAAACTAAGTTTATACTTCATTTTAAACAAAATATGAAAGAATAAATAGAGGTAAAATTATTTACTTACAATTTTTTGAACATTGTTTACAAAATGTGGTCATATGTTCCATACATATACTTTTGGCTACATTTTCACAATGAATCTAGTCTTTCTAGCTTTTTCCTTGGGGCACTATGTACACCTCTTGTAAGTAATTTTAGGTTTTTTGAGTAGTGGTTCATTGTTAACATGTTCATCGGTGGTCAGTGTTTGTCTAGAATCAGGAACTACAGATGCTCGTCATCGTTCATTTTGAACACTTTCTATTAGCTGCATCCCTAAGGCTTTGAGAAAAGTACACCTGGTACAGTATTCTGTTGGTGGTTCCTTCTTTGATAGTAGAACTATTCTTGCATTATTAATGGCAGCCACGTCTAACACTGAAAAGAAAGTCACCATAGGCCATCAATGTGCTACTCTTGCTGTAGAATACGCAGCTGTCATCTCATCTACAACATCGACTGCTCCTTTTGTCATGTTATGGAATGTAATGATTTCAGGCTTTTTAGATTCCCCAGTAGATTCATCAATTTGATCGTTGGAATGCATTGTGGACAACAGGATCACACTCTTATTTTTTTTCGGCACATAATATACAAGTGTTGCTTCTTTCTGAAAACCGAAAATTGAAGAATATGTTTCTCTTTTCTTTTGCCAGAAACTCAGGTGGGATTTCTCTCTTATTTTTACGTATTGTATCTACTATCGTAATTTTCTTCTTTGGGAGATCTTGAGATAATTAATATCCCATATACCAATTATGAACTGTTAAATTTCGACCAGAGTTGTATAAGGGCCTTATTAAACGTTGACAACTTCGCTTGCACTATTTTTCAACTTGAAATGGCACATCTGGTTTTTTGTTTACCAGCATAAATTTCCATACTCCAGGTATAAAATACCCTTGCGTCTACAAGAGCAAATATTTTTATGCCATACTTTGCTGGCTTGTTTGGCATATATTGTTTGAAGGAACAACGACCTTTGAATTCCAACTTCTCATCAATGGTCACATACTCTCCTACAGTATAAAGCCTTTTGGCATGACAAAACTTCCAAAAAATTCTCTGATCGGAGCTAATTTATCAACGTCTCTTCTACTGGGACGATCTCTAATGTCATCAAAACAGAGACATCGTAAAAGAAAGAGGAATTGGTTTACTGACATTGTTTCCCGAAATATTTTATTCCCATTCTGTCTGCTGCCCACAAATCTCTTATGTTCACATATGGGATGATTTATAAACGCCACATAAATACAGCAATCTAATTAAAGATTTCCAACTCACTTGTCACTTTTGCATTCCATTCACGAGTGAAATTTTCTTGTACTTGAATTCAATATAAATATTTGTATTGTCGAACTACATGTTTTAACCTATCTTCATTGATAAGCAATGACCAGGAATCTAAAGGTGTTGAGACGACTTTAGAATACTTTTGTACTTTCCAGGGAGTTTAGTTATAATATTTTTGGTGCCAATTCTAACATTACTCCGGAATTTATTTTTGTTTCATTTCACTCCATTTTTTCTAACATTAAAACTCCATAGCTACATTCCAGAGTTTCATTTTTTGTTTCTGTATCTGAATCGCTACTCTCGGTAGGATGAATCATGATTACTATTATATTCTTCATCATCAACATCTTCCTCTTTTTTACTAAGTGAATCCTCATCAGAAGAAACTGTTTTCAAGAAGATTTCTCAATTTTTCATCTCTTCATCGTAAGTAATATATGGCGCCATGCTTACAACTCAAGAAAAACCTATACTAAAAGCTTTGAAAACAAGAAGTGCGAAGTGACTCACTGAGAAATGCGAGTACATGCGCGGGTACGACATGCCGAACAATGCTGTTCCTAAAAAACCGTTGCACCTGTCACCTCAGGAATTTCCCCCATTTAAGTATGTGACCTTGAACTCAGCTACACCAAGTTTCGTCCTTTTATGAAAGAATGGGTGAGAAATATACTAAAAGAAAAGTGCACATGGGTATGACATACCCGTTGCGTGTGCTCGCGGGTTAATGCATATTATCTCGCACAAAAGCACAAGCAAAAACTAGTTATGCATATTCCACTGACCATTATCAAAATATAAAACTATCACCAAACAATGTGATTTAGTATCAATAACAGATAAATATTATATCAGCACATACATGACTTATTCGATGACATACATGATCTTCACTTCGATTTTCCACAAACACAGTTAATCCTTGATAAGTCAGTTTTGTTTCTGCACAGAAAGAAACTTTTTTTTTTTTTAATTTTCATTTGTAGAGACATTTGGATTTTTTTTGGAAGCAGGCAAGATGAAAAATGAGCAATCGCCTTCACCGGCAATCGAACTGCAGACCTCTGAAATACCGGCTCAGCATGCTGACCATTACAGCACAAAGGCTCGCCAAGAAGACAGAAGAAATACATTATATATTTTTAAAAAAATAATATTTCATCCATGTTTAGAACAGCATTCAATGAAATATTTAATTATTATTTAGTAGTAGAATGTATGAGATACTGCATAAAAGTTAGCAAGAATGATAAACAAATTTATTTAGACATTCTGCAGCTAAATGAAAGAAAAAAATCTATTTAATGATATTTTTTTACTAAATTGAGGTATTTTATATTTATTTTGCAGCATACATAAGGAAAAAATATGTGCATTAAATTTCGTGATGTCATCATACTGCTAGAATTAATTTCAGGATTATGCCAGAGAAAATTTCTTGAAATTTGGAAATATTATTTACTAATGATAAATAAATTTAAAGGGAAGAAGCAACATTAAATGATATGAATAACATAAAAATTAAGATAATTGCTTAATATTTGAATTAGAATAATCAACGATATTTTAGCGAATATAGTTATATTACATGGTTAGCCTAGATGACTGATTACTATTTTTTTTATTTTACTGCAAAATGACAAGGTATTTATTAAACAGAAAAAAAAAAAAAAAAAAAAGATTTTGCGGTAAAATCCTAGTATACGGTACGGCTTTCGCACGATTTTGAAAATTGTCGCCAAGAACAAAATGACTCGTTTACTGCTCATCATCATGTTGCCAAATCCCGCTGTACCATACATGAAGATTATTATAACCAAAGAACGTCTATGTAAAGAAGAAAAAGTTCCATACACGTAAATGCTATTACGCGGCTAGAAAGCGGAGGGAAAATTTGCTAAGGGATTTGACGACGGAACCTGGTGGCCAGAATTTCTCTCTCCGCGATGTGTACAGGAAATTGAGAAACACGTGTTAAGAAGAAACGTTCTTTGACAAAAAAGAAAACTATGAAAATCCATTTTTAAATTATTGCGAAAATCCAAGAAAAAACGTTTTAATATCAAAGAACGTTTTTTCTTGGATTTTTCGCAATAATTTTAAAAACGGATTTTCGTAGTTTTTTTTTCTTTCCCTTTCCCCCCCTCAAATAACTAATCCATGAATTAATTTACTTGCTTGCCCAAAAGATATTTTCTTTTCCTTTAGAGCAGTGCTCTGCAACCTTTTCTCACTTGCAACGCACAAAAATCTTTCTGGAATTTCGTGGCACACCACCAAGAGTTCCGAGTTATCAGGAAGTGCCGAAAAATTCAAATGCTGACGCACTTACACATCACACACACAACCACACAACAGTGAATATAAAAACATTTAAAATAGACATTATTAAGGGAAAAAAATTGTCATTGTGTATTAAATACATGATAAAAAATTGCAAAATGTCAAATACATGTATTTGATTGCGGCACACCTATATCCTACTCGTGGCACACCGGTTGCGGAGCGCTACTTTAGAGTTTAAAGAAATTTTAAACGATATTCATTTTATGAATTCTTGATAACGTGACCTTCGAACTTCGACACCGGTTTCGAGCTTTGGCGACATATATATCCCGCACGCACAGCTGTTTCCCTCTATGATGGAACGGAGCCACGTCTGTTGCAGAGAGGTTTTCTTTCTTTACAATACATATTTTTTGATTCTAACCTTCATGGTACCGTATACTAGGATTAAACACATTTTGTTTTATACGAGAACAGGTACTTTCTTTGGTTCATGCACTGCACATGCGATTCTCGAGGTTACTGGAAACCAAAAGTTGCGGGAAACTTGATTTGCCTTTCTAAAAGACAATCAAATTGGAGTTGCAAAAATTGGCTCTATGCCAGCTGCCAGAATGACACTCACGTGATACACAATTCGCCAAAAAAGTGATCTCTTCCGACGTCGGCGCAAAACTCGCCTTTTTTGGTGGGATCCTTGTATGAAATTTCCTGATTTTTCCAGATTTTGACTAAAACACTTAAATTCCCTGACTTTTCCCTGAATTTTTTGGTCAATTTCCGAATTCCCTGACTTTTTCCGGTTTTCCAGGTAGCATGGCAACCCTGTGTGTGGATCAAAATTAAAACGACAATTGTGACTGCACCCAGGTTCAATTACAGTTTATTGAGAGAACTAACCTCTATTGAATGCACGAAAAGAACAGCTACATATGGCCAACAAAACAGTGACTGGCTGGAACAATTGGTTGACAGAAGTTTGTACGTGCAACCGTCTAAACAGAGCTTTAAAATTAACAGTCGAAATTGGGGGAAGGAGGCTTTTAAGGAAGCGAAAGAATGAAGTGAGTTGAATGCTTTCCATAGCAATGGATATTTGGACGATGGGAATGATTGGCACAATCTCTGCCAACTTCATATTCGACAGGAAGAGAGTGCTCCAAAATTATACAAACATCTTCCTCTAATAATACATTTCAGGTCAGCTAATGCACGTATCCATGTGTCTATTATTCTAACCACGAAATAATGAAATAAACTGCATATTTTAACATAACTGAACTAACATACTGTAAAGTTATTTGGCAAAAACAAGCAACAGCTTTGTAAAATAAACAAAAACAAAACAAAACTTCACTATTAAACACTCTCCTCCCCACAGATTTGACGACTATCATATCCTTACATTTCTTATGCTATTTTGATCTAAAAAATTATTCAAATCTTAAAGTACTAACTAGACATAATATTTTTTTAAGAATGAATACTTTCAGTGGCTTCCCTTCACATGAGAAAATCACCAAAAAAACGTACTATTAATATTTAAAGCAAAACAGATAAATACCTGTAAGTAATTTTCTAACCAAATAATGGCCTTCATGTCCAACATGTTAGTTGGTTCTGAAAAGGAAAAGTACTGTTATTAGCTTTGTACATATATGGATAATTTTGCTGAAATTTTGTATGAAATTGTTGTATTTTTCTATATAATGTAACGTGAATATGTAGACAGAAGATGCTCTGCCGGAAATATACAGGGCAAGTCTATTTAACACTGAATAAATGGCATCTTGCTAATTTGGCGAGGCAGCTGTTTTTGTAGCCAAATTTGGCGACCATTTCTGACATTTTGGTTCGGCCCCTGTATAACTGTAATGGATATTGTAATTGATGTTCTGCGTAACTGTAACCTTCATATGCCTTCCAGCAATTTCAAGAAGCAGAAAGTACTAGAAATATCTTGGTGGCCAGATGAAAACCAGATAAAACCAGAGAGAGAATCTGCTCTTAGCTGTTATTTCAGCATGAGTTCAGAGTACTGAGATATCTCCGGGTTAGTTTCACTTTTTAATGCACTTTCTATTGCTCTGTGTTCAACGTTCTTAGTAGTTCGAAGTGATACTGTGATACTACAAAGAGCTGTACGAGTATTTTCTTAGAAAGTTCCAGGACTGTGAAGTGTTTCCTTTGGTGAAATAAATTTTTTTCAAGCTATCATCTATTCTGTGTTCATTCAGTCTATTTTGAAACCATACACAAGCAACAATATTGTACCTGTAATGCGTCAAACCTGTAACACATGCAATAAAGCATAATCATGTCATTTTACCCTACTTCATGTAATACATAATCATTAATGTTTGTTAAGTTCATTCAGAATTAATTTATTCAACAGATACAAATCAGGGTTGCCACTCAAACAGGAGAATGAAATTCCCAGGTTTTCCAGGTGTGTTTTAAGAAAATTCCATTCTATCTGCATAGTGCACGTTGGCTCTGCTGAGAGGTAAATTAATTATGGTACCATTTGAAAACAGAAAAATATGTCAATTATATTTGACTCATATATATATAGTCCTCAAAACATTACTATTATAACTATAATGGGAGTTACATTCTCCATTAAAGACCGAGATTAGAATCTGCCCAATCTGGATTAAAAAATGTCTTTTTTTGGGGGGCGGCAGACATTTTGCAGCTAAACGAAATAAATAAATTTGTTTAATGATATTTTAAAATAAATTCCAGTATTTTATATTTATTTGGCAGCATACATAAGCAAAAAATGTGTGCATTAAATTTCATGATGGTATGTCATCATACTGCTAGAATGAGTTTCGGAAGTACCCAGAAAAAAGTGCCTGAAATTTAAAAGTATTATTAACCCTTTGAAAGGCACCAGTATATAATATATACCGGTTGTTTGTCACTTTTTTTAACCTTGGAAAACTTGATAATTTCTCTACACCAAAAGCTATAATCGTAAGTTTCTAGTGTTTCCTTTCGATTCTAAATGGCAGCATCACCCTATGAATGCTCAATATTTTGCAGTTATGAAATTAATATACCTCGTTCTAAGGTGTCATGTTTGAAGATTGATAAATTCTATTGGAGGGAAAGAAAAAATTCAAAATCTGCAAATATATGACGTACACATGTTGAACCTTTTATATTTACTGCATTTCAATCAAACCTGATGATTAAAAGATTTTGTATGTGTTTTTAATACCGGTACATAATATATACTGGCGCCCCTACTGAGGAAACCTTGCCAATAGATGGCAGCACCAGGCTTCTCCTTCTCTACTGCGCGAGATGACAGCATTTCTTTACATTATAATATAGTTTATGATGTAATAATTTGTTTATGATTAACTTATAAACTGTTTAGGATTCAGTATTATGTTCATGAAGGGATGAGGAGTTTACTGACCCTGCACTAGGACTGAATACTAGTATATTTGTTTCTTTTTATTCTTTTTTTCCTCCGTGCGAGTTTCATTCGTCTCTATTTATCTAAAATTTTAACTTCAGTACTTCACCCTTTCCCAAGAGAAAGACTCATCGATTTCAAAATTGCCATCTGGGGTCAAAATTTTACACCTGATTGTAGGGGTTAAATGTGGCACGTTAGCCCTCCAAAAGACACCCGTTGCTTCGTGTTTTCCAAAATCCTAGAATCCAATGAAAATGAAAGGAGATGATTGACAACTGATTTGTCATTCGGGAGTCACGCCTTCTTCCCTTTCTGTGGTGTGATAAGATCACACAAAGAGAAAGCTCACTTAAAAATACAGGAAATGGAAGTGCACTTAAGGTTCATCTCTTAGTGTAATCACAAAAACTGCTGATTTGAAAGCATGCTTTTATTCTTATCGTCTTTGTTAATTTCAGATGAAAGACTAGGGAACGCAAGAAAAATTTAGGGTTAGTTTACAAATAGATTTTTTTAAAATAAGTTTCGCACTTGGTGAAATAAGGGAAAATATTTCTAAGGCCAATTTTAGATGCAAACTAGAATTTATCCAAAAGTTGAAAAGCAGCCCCTAGGAACCAAAGAGGTTGAAAATCGAAATAAGAGGTGTATGAAATAATAATGGTGTTTTTTCCTGAAGAAAAATATATATTGCAACTTATATTTACAAAAAATAAAAAAGGGGGTCCTTACGGTCCTCGATAATCTAAAGTGTGTGTGCATGTGGAAAGGGCGATTCTTGGTATCATAGCATGAACCATGGTTTTTTTACACATTAAAGCATAAAATATGACCAAAAATGCAACATACTTTCTCTTCTGAGTCCTAGTGTTTCATTTAATTTTTTTTTTAAATTTTTTTTAAAATTTTTTTAGTTATTATATCTCCTTGTAATATTATACTAGTTCAGTTGCAGCATGATACGATTTACACATGCAATGTCATATTTACTAATTTTTTTTATAAAATAATAATATCAAATTTAAATTAAATTCAAAAGCTTTTACCCATATTTTAAATAAGTATGCTCAGCTGGGTTGCATCACCAAAGTGCATAAAAACATAAATTTTATTTTTAAAATTTTAAATTTCTACCAAAATGTTAAAAGTTTTTGTCTTCAGACTTGCATAACTATATTCAAGCATGCATCTCTACAGATGCACATCAAAAGTACTCAAAATTAATTTTAAAAACAAAAATTAACAATTGGCAGCTATCAGGAAAAAAAATGTCTAGAGGGGTATAAAATATATACCGCCTCTCAAAATTTAGAATTTCGCTTTACATTTTTTTTTTTTTTTCAGTCTCAATTTTGTGTCCTTAGAGTCCATAAGTTCATGCAAAATTTTACCACAATTTAAATTGTTTTATATACCGCACCGCAAAGGGTGAACTAATGATAAATAAATTTAGAAGAAGCCATATTAAATGATACAAATAATATCAAAATAAAGCTAATTACTTAAAGCTTAAAAACTGAATTGCAATAACCAATGATATTTAGGCAAATATAGTTATATTAAATCATTAGCCTAGATGATGGATAACTATTTTATTTTACTGCAAAATGACAAATAAGGCATTTATTAAAAAGGAAAAAAAAGTCTAAAAGATTTTGCGTTAAAATCACGATTTTGAAAACTGTCGCCAAAACCAAAATGATCCGTTTACTGATCATTATAATGTTACCAAATCCTGAGTGTATCGTATACTAGGATAGAACCGATTTTGTTTTACATGAGAATGAGAAGGTATTTTCTTTCGTTCAATATGCAATGGGCATGTGGTTCTCGAGGTTACTGGAAACCAAGCTGCTGAAAACTCACTTTGCTTTCCTAAAAGACAATCTGAATGGAGCTGCGAAAATTGGCTTTACGCCAGTCAGCCAAATGATGCTCACACAATACATAATTCGCTAAGAAAGTAATCGCTTCCAATGCTGGTACAAAAATAGCTTTTTTTGGGGATTGCTATATGAAATTCCCTGACTTTTCCAGATTTTGACTAAAATATTTTAATTCCCTGACTTTTCCTGGCTTCCCATGTTGCATGTCAACCCTCTCAAACATTTTACAGTCAAAAGTCGTTAATTCGGACACCCATAATCCGGAATGATCTATAATCCAGACCTCAAAGCTACAAACTTTCTGCGCATGCATCGCATTTTTTTATTTAAAAGTTAAATTTAAATTTGTTTAAATTTAAAAGTATATACAATACATACGCTTTGCATAAAAATTATTTACTTAAGCAAAATCTTATATTCATTTTATAAATAGATAATCAAATTTTTGGAACAAATAGCAAATGTATCAATTTAGGACAGCAAAACACCAATTTAAACCTAATTTAAAATTTTACAAATTTTAAAGTAGGCAGTAGAAAATTTTACAAACTTAAAATTAGACATACACACAGAAAAGAAAACCTTACACTGGCACAGATTTGGAATAAAACTATTGATTTTTAAGAGCACTTAGACATAAGCCTCCTTTTTCAAGAAGAATTTTTTGGGGGTGGGTAAAAATGGAAAAGGCAATAACAGTTTTACATAAAAAACAATGGCAATCAGCAGTAAAGTGATAACAAAATTCATTGCCATCAATACTGAATGTGAAAAGTAAGATATTACAATTTTTCAGGCAGTAGAAAAATTGTTTGGAATTAATGACTGAAGAATGGCAATTAATGATATTAACTACAGATGCTTTCAGAATTCTTACACCAATACCCAATTTTTTCATATTTCATTATTCTTTTCTTAAGGGATAGCACTATGTTCATTTTCGATATCACTTGCTTGAACTATAAAATGGTTGTTGCTCCTTTCATTTTTGCAAAAAAAAGTTTCTTGCTCCTCGTAAGACCTTTACCGCTGCAAATTTGCGTGTGCGCAAAATACGTTTATGAATGCGCGTTTAATGTATAACGGACGGGATAAGCTAAGGTAAAATTATCTAATTATCTAATTCAGTTAATGTTGCAGTTGCGTTCTTCCTTAATCTTCGAATTGGATCCGGATTATTATTTTTTTGCAGACGTTAGAGCAATTTTATAAAGTAAGCTTGAACTTTCGATTATGTCCAAATAATTTCCGATATATTTTACTAAATGTAAAGGATCAAAGCGAAGTAGCTTTCGGAGTCCATTAACAAAAGTGGCAGGCAAAAAATGGATAAAGGCATATCCTTTATTATAACTTAACGTTTGCAAACTTTGGTTTATCTTTTTACGCGGCGGCGGCATGCAATGAATTGGAAGTTGATCTGTCAGCACTATCCTTATCTTAAGGGCAGATTTTTTTATTTGGCTTGGCTTGTAAGGTATGCACTCAAGTACTCCGTCTTTGATAGATTTAATCAATGCCTCACAGATAATCGCTCCTATGCGAGAAATTCACAGAGGTTATGGAACGAAAAATTCGATTTGACAATTAGTCATATTCTCGACACAGCAATTAAGGACCTGAACAGCGGAACTTGTAACGAATCCAGAATGGTCTGTTGAGAATAAAGAGAATGTATTATTCATATAAAGAGCAACTTAAACAACTACATTGAAGAATGGTTAATAAAGTTAAACAAATAAATATTCCGCTTTTTTTGTAAATTTTGAATACCCTTTAGATCATAATTTTTTTTTTGTTCCTTTTATTTGTAATTACGATTTCCATATTTTTATTTTATTTTATAATTTCTGCTGCCATTTTACCAGATTAAAACTGATGATCTATAAATCGGACAAAATGATAATCTGGCAATCGCCGAAGGTCCCGACGATCCTGATTAACGATTTTGACTTTATAGAACAAATACTATATACAATACTGTTTTGCAACTGTTATTAACAAACTTTTTTTAAAAACTGTTTAATTTAATTTTAATTTATACATTAGTAATTTATTTTCATGGATTGATTTGCACTTGATTTGCTTCTGCTTCGATTAAATGATATTGGTAGATTAAGTTTCGAGTATTAAATCTTTTATATGTTTGCTATTTTTTTTAAAATTATTTTGGTTTTTTTTTCCTTTTTTTTAAGGATTTTTAAATATTGCGTTTTACTTCTAATAAAACGTATTTGTTTAAAAATTAAATTTAAAAAATTGTTTAATTTAAAATTCTACAGACATACGCTTCATAAAATTATTTAACTTAAGCAAATCTTAAATATTCATTTTTTAATAAATAATATCAAATTTTGGAACAAATAGCAAAATGTATCACTTAGTGACATCAAAACACACAACCAATTTAAACCTATTTAAATTTACAAATTTTAAAGTAGGCAGTAGAAAATTTTTACAAACTTAAAATTATACATACACACATAAAAAACCTTAAACGGCACAGAATTGTGGAATAAAACTATCGATTTTTAAAGAGCCCTTAGACATAAGCCTCCCTTTTCAAGAAGAATTTTTTTTTTGGGGGTGGGTAAAAATGAAAAGGCAATCAACAGTTTTACATAAAAAAACAAATGCAATCAACATAAGTGATAACAAAAGTCATTGCCATCATACTGACTGTGAAAAAGTAAGATATTACAATGTTTCAGCGTAGAAAGATTGTTTTGGAATTAATGACTGGAAGACTGGCCAATAATGAGATTAACTACAGATGCTTTCAGAATTCTTTACACCACCCAATTTTTTTCATATTTCATTATTCTTCCGTTAAGGGTAGCAACTATGTTCATTTTCGATATCACTTGCTTGAACTATAAAATGGTTGTTGCTCCTTTCCTTTTTGCAAAAAAAAGTTTCTTGCTCCTGAAGAAATGGGATCCTTACCATTACCTTCAAAACTGATAAAGTTTTATTCAGAATCTATGCCAAATTAAGGTTGATTTTTTACCTTATTTTAAATTATGAAATATATATTTACAAATTTAAAACAGAAAAATAATTCAAACTTACCATCTAGCAATAATAAATCAGGCCTATAAGGAAAAGTAAAATCAAAATATCTGATAAATACTCGTATATCAAAAACAATGTATCATAAATAAATATAATAGAAAGCAAAATTCTAGATTTTACTACTTTTGTGAAGTGGCAGTTCAAAACAAACATCTCAATATGTACATTAATAATTTAAAAATACGTAAGGATTGCAAAAATTAGTTAAATTTAACAAAAGCAACAAATAACAATAAGATGCAAAAACTGCATTGTTAAATTGTAGACAATATGATGAAAATCTATAATTTAAGTTCATTACTAATTTTTACTCGTGTATGTACACAAATCAATCTTACTGTCACTTAGCAGTAAGTTAAGCGAGTTATATATAATAACTAAATGCCAAACAAACCATTTGGCAATATTTTGCCATCTCTCAGAGGAAATACTATAAATAGTTAATGTTATTACTTTCTTGAACATATTATATGATTCCATAAGTATGCACTTTGAATTCAATTTAGAGCATCTTTTTTGACACACTAATGGTTTAATATATATATACACACCAAATGATACAAAGCAATAAGTTTGGTTTGGTTTGGTTTATTTACGTATGGCAAAGCACACTAGGGCTATCTGCCTAAGGGGAGGGATGCCTTCGTGGAGGACTTTCTAAGGGAACTGGCTCGTATACACGTTACACATGGGGAAAACCACGAAAATGCCCATGCAACCACAGGATTTGAACCTCGGACTGAACTACCAGTGTTCAGTGACTTTACCACTCGGCCACTGGTGGGCGCCAAAAGTAACAGGAAAAATAAAATTTCAATAATCCAAAAAGTATACAAAGTAACACAATTCACTTTCCACATAAATGTACAGAAAGAAAAGGAGATTTTTTAATAATAAAAATTTTAAATACCAGAACAGTTACATTTTCATGGACAAAAGGTGTCATAGCAGTTTCATAGAACTGACATTTCATATGGGACTTTGTGACAATTGTTCAGGATCATCTTTCAAGATGTATCTTTATAAAACCCAATATATATATAGGAACTGGGAACCAGTTGGTTTTGAGAGACCTTAAGAATTTGCAAATTGGGCTTTTTCAACAGATTAATGCAAACTGACCGGCAAATGTCCTGTGAACAATTTTCTCTTAACACATTGACTGCCCAACATGAGACAACTTCTATTAGTGCTCTTCTTCAGGATGACCAATACAAGTTATCTCGTAGTTTGACTTGCTACTTTTGCGCTGCTAAGAGTTGCTTACTCGCTTAGCACTTGTTTTAGCCATACATCAAGCGACAAGTCAAAGCATGTCTGTACGAATCAACACATAGTGGGCTTTTGTGAAGAGCTTTGTCTTACAAAAGCTGATTATGAGATAATTCGTAGAACCCTTTTTTCTAAAAAAAAAAAAAAAAAAAAAAAAAAAGAAAGAAAGAAAGAAAGAAAAAGAAAAAAAAACTTGTTAACTTTTTAATGATTGTTATGAATCGTAATTAGTATTTTTAATAACATAATATGATTAAATCGATTTGGCTTCTCGAACCAGAATCCGAAAAAAAGTGGCGTGGCAGTCAACGTGTTAATGGAAGTGCAAATGCTCACAACTGTCACATCTGTGCGAGACAGAACCCATACGTCATTACAGAAACACTTTTATATCAACCAAAGATGGCAGTGTCATGCAGGTTCACTGCATAATTTATCTTGCTTTTTATCATTTTTAACTTGCTTTTATTTTGAGAAAACCTACAGAAATACATTTCAGACTATTTCTACCACAGTACCATTTTTACAATCATTCCCTTGCAACAGTGGCAAGTGATCCAAAGTGTAACTTTCATGTAGGATATACCGTCTTCACGTAGGTCTTGCCCAACAACTGCTGCAACTGACTTTTGACAGCGACGTTACCCTCAGTACACTTTAATGTGTGAATGGCCTCCAAAGTCACCAAACCTTTTGGTTATGGGACTGACTCAAGTTGCACACATCAAGAAGAAAGATTGGCTGAAATTATTATCCACAGTGAAAGAAGTTATTCACCATCATACGGCTAAGCTAAATAGCAATATACCAATCTTCAGATGGTGTGATTATGCTTGGTTGACAGATGATTAATGCCAAAGAAAATAATGACAACTTTGATTAACTGTTCAACACCACATTAATACTCACTATCCACATTAACTTTCTTTCAGTCAGAGAAACATGAATATCTTCAAAATTGGATCCTATAGAAGTTATAAACACTTAGTATACACATTTAAATAAACTTTCTCAAATCCATCCGAATGTTGGTATCTTTGACGGCAACCTGATTGGCACAGATTTGAAGAGTCACATATATCTGAATCTATATATTATCCATAGCGAACCTATTATATGTCTAATAAATAGCATTTTCAGAATTGTTTGTGCTAACAGTGAAGTTTGATAACAGTAAAATAACGGTTCGATGTAATTTTTTGCAGTCTGGAATAGGCCATTCAGTTTTTTTTTAATCTTCCAAACCTAACATCTACAACTGCATTTCTCACACTGTGGTTACAAATTAAAATCACATTCCCTTGTTTCAGCCCAATTCTATTGAACAAACAGCAAAGTATCTATTTTCTTGCTTTAAAATCAAAAAGGTTATTAGAAGAGTCAAAAAGAGCATTGTCAAACACCAACTACATAAGTTGCAATACAGTTTGCACAGGCCAAATATTTTTCAAATTCCAGTCAATGAACTGTGAATAACAGTTCGGGTTGTGAATTGTTACTCAGTGTTCAGAATAACTGTCAACAGGAAAACGGAGGGTAAAGGTGGGAGAATATACAGTAAAATTTGTCAAAATTAGGTAAAGAACTTACCATGATGGTTAAATCATTGAAAAGAGGTCTAAATATCAATTAACCCTCTGAGCGTTATGATCGGTTTTATCCCGCCATGAGATTTTTTGTAACTCGTAGTAACTATAATTTAAGATATTTTGCTTTCTTACTTTCATTAATAATATAAATGCCATCTTAATGAATGTAAGTTTATGAACACTGAGACTAAAATAGGTTAAATATACATTTTTAGTTAAAAAAGTCTCTTTATAAAAGATCCAAAATCCAGTATGCTCAGAGGGTTAAACTTACAAACTATCTCATCTAAGAATACAGGGGCAACAACACAGTCTATATCTTACAATTAATAAGGCAAAAAATTTTCCATCAACTTCTGAAATTACTATCTATGTCATGAGCAACTCGATGACTGTGTAAACATTATTTTCTTCAAAGATATTTTTCATGGTCTAGTAACACTATATTTTGGTTTAGGTTTAGAATGAAAAAGAATGGTAGATGTGCCATGTTTTCATACTGAGATGGATTGTCCATTTTATTGAATTATTTAGGTAGATTGCCTGCTTTATTTTGATTCCTTTCTTATTCATTTTTAACTGGAGAATCAACCCAATGAATGAAATTCAGATACAGTCTTGCAATATGGGGACCATTTGATAGGATCATTTTAAAGGTACTTTTACTGAGTTATGTATTATTCTGAAACTGATATTGCTTATTAAAACATGTTGCATATAACAGCTAATTTTCCCTGGTGCTTTAATGGTTTGGGTGACTTATTATTAAAAGGAGATAATGTTAAGAAAGAAAGCATTACAACTAAGTTTGCTAATTTACAAAGAATTTATTCTCAGTGAACTGAAATAAATCATTATAAAGCTTTTTATTATTGATGAAGATGATAAAAATATCAAAATGAGATAAGTGAAGAATATAACGAAACTTTTGTAAAAGCAGACGTAAATATAGGGATGTAAATGTAGAAGGGAGTGTGTGGGGGAATTTATCTCCAGTGCACGAGACTGCCTATTGGAAATTCTAAAGATATGCTTATTTTAAAGTTATTTTGCAATACTGCTGTTGAGTTGAATTTTATGGTTTAAGTGCAAAGAACATTTAGTAAATAAAGGTAATACACGAAAGGTTTTAAAAAAAGTCCCTTTGGGTGTAATGTAAAATCTAAAAGCTTTCAGATTTTTTTAAATATTTTTTTAATTGTTTTTTATTCTTCTTGTTAAGTACATTGTATTTTGATTTATGTCCCACCCACCACAAATCAAAGGTAGGTTCAGTAAACATAGCTTTCTTTAAGTTAATTTTCATGGCTTGGCAACACTGTATTTATTAGTTTATGTTTAGAATAAAAAAGAATGGTGGAGCTGTGCCATGTTTTCATACTAAGGTGGCCTGCCTATTTATATTTGGTTACTTAGATAGATAGCCTGCTTTATTTTGATTACTTATACTTTTCTTACATTTTTACTTCCTTGTACGAAGTAAAAAGTAAGTATTGTAATCGCGAAAAGTTTCAGGCAACATATTTCAACGAAAATAACCATTTTGACCGCTATCGAATGCAATTTAACGATGTTTTTGCATGATATCTGTGTGTAAGGACAGAATAAAAGACACTTTTCCTCCAAAAAGAATTATAAAACTGCTTTAAAATTAATTCTGAAGAGAATTTTTCGTGGCGTCTGTACGAACGTATGTATGTACGTACGTGCGTACGTATGTATGTATCTTGCATAACTCAAAAATGAGTTGCCACAGAACGTTGAAATTTTGTATATAGGACTGCTATAACATGTAGATGTGCACCTCGTATTTTGGTTGCAATCAGCCGCACCAAACGTATATAAATATATTTATATATATATCCACTCTGTTACCCAGCTCAGTGATCTCAGAATCTTTACTCTTATATGTTTGTAAATTGTACATTTATTGCTTTAAAAATGATTGAATTATGTTGTTTTTATCTTCCAGTTAAGGTTTTTAAGCCTTTCGTAATTCTGGAAGTAATATTTGTACAATTATCAACAATTTAAAAGCTGTTTAAGTGCGGTTAGGTTTTAAATAACATGGCGGACATATTTGTTTACATTTGGAACAGCAGAATTGTAGATTTGTTGGCAATCTAGAGAGACTAAGCTTCGCAACACAAAAATAATGCCTTCATTTGTTATTGCGAATTAAATCATGCTTAATCCTTTCTGGAATTTTTTCGAGGAAATAAGTGTTTAAGATTTACTTCGTAATTTTTAATGCAGATATTTTGAGTTTTTATGTATTTTTGCCTTGTCGCGAAGCGAAAGCTGAATTAATTGAATGAGAAATACTAAATCGTCTGTGAAAAACTTTTTTTTTTTTCTGTTTTGTTTGCTTAATTTCTTTCATACACCGTTCTAGCTTTATTATAGTATTTGAATAGAACATGTGGCAACGATAATTCTTCAAATGATATAAATTTTGTGCATTCAGAGTGTCGTTATAGTAAACAAATATAGTGAATTTTAAAAAGTACATTTATTCTATTGTGGTTTATGCGCTGTCGACGAAGTAGATTTAATTCAATCCAATCAATGTAAATGAAATTCAAGAAAAAATGCATATAATTTAATATTACGTACAAGGAAGTCATGTGGTGTACACATCAGATTTTTTTTTATTAGAGAACTGAATGAATGAATGAAATTTAGATACATTTTTTTTTATTAGAGAACCGACTGAATGAATGAAATTTAGATAATTTTTTTTTATTAGAGAACCGACTGAATGAATGAAATTTAGATGAGTCATGCAAGGTCTAAGAACCGATTGAATGAATGAAATTCAGATGAGTGCTGCAACAGCCTAAGTACTTATAAAATTAAATCAAAACTAGAAATGTAACTTTTGCATTTTCACTTACTTTGAAAATAAAGCTCTGGCTAAAGCTATTCTCATTCTCCAACCACCAGAAAATTCCCTAAAACAAACAAATGCTTACAATAAATCTTTCTAAAACATATAAATTTTGCCAAAAAAAAAAAAAAAAAAAGAGAGAGAGAGAAAAAAGCAAGATAGAAATATAAGAAACCCTGTCCTCCACAAAAAGCCTTTTTTTGGGGGGGGTAAGAAAAAATTTACCCTTTGAATATTATATTCACTCTTTGAATGAATGCCATGGAATCTTGAATCTACTCAAGAAGAAGCTGTAAACAATTAGGTAATTCTCTATTAATTGAGCACCAGTTACCAAATGTGGCAGCCTATTTATGTCAAACTGTGAAGAGCTGTGCAATAACAGTATACACTGGTGTGCAAAAATTAAGGACGAAGTCGAAAAATTAGCATATCAGCTGAACGAAGAGGCAGAGCGGACAGAAAGACCAATCAGGAGATTAAGTAAGGTGATGTACGGTAGCACATGCGTAGATATGCAGGTAGATGTAATGGGGGAGTGTCTGAGTAGTATAAAGCATGTTGTCGGTGTAAGATCAGTATTTCTGGCAAAGAGATTGCACGCCGTATAGCAGTTAAAATCACACCGAGTTGCTGCCTCAGCAAGAAATGGCGAATAATCAATCTGTTAGACGACATCTGGATGCCTTTACCCGAGGTCGAATCATTGGGAAGTTGGAGGAAGGCCGCAGTGTGACAAGTGTGGCCAGAAGAAACAGGCGGCAGACAGCGGGAGAAATCGCTAGGCACACGACACAGGCGACTGGACAACCGATATCGTGTTTTACCGCAGCCAGAAGACTGCACGACGGTGGTCTGTTTGCACGACGCCCTGTACGGTTGTGTACCTCTAACGCCTGCCCATCGGAGAAGGCGTTCTCTGTGGTGCCGGGAACACCAGAATTGGAGAGACAATGAATGGGGACGAGTACTCTTTACAGATGAGAGCAGATTCAGTCTGAGTAGCGATTCTCATCGCATACTCATCTGGAGAGAGCGGGGCCGCAATCACACCTCGAACATCATTGAAAGGGCAGGTATGGAGGTCGGTGTTCTCGTTTGGAGAGGCATCATGCTTGGTAGTCGTACAGACCTTCACATCTTCGACGCAGGTTCAGTCAATGGGACCCATTATTGTAACGAGATTCTTCTTCCGTATGCGCGTCTTTTTAGAGGCGCTATGGGTCCGCAGTTCCTTTTCATGATCGACAATGCACCATGTCATCGCACAGTAGCTGCCGAACAGCTCTTAGAGAGTGAGGATATTGAACTCATGGATTGGCCGGCACGATCTCCGGATCTCAATCCCATCGAGCATGTATGGGATTTTCTAGGCAGACGCTTGGCAGCTTGTACCTTACCACCAGTTACGATTCCGGAGCTTTGATTGGCGCTGCAAGACGAATGGGCAGCAATGCCTCAACAACTCATTGACATCCTCATTCTCAGCATGGGCAGACGCTGTGAAACCTGCCTAGCAGTCAGGGGAGATCATATCCCCTATTAAATACCGGATGTTTCTTGCTGGACACCCATCAGAGGGATCTTTCGGCCTTTGGTCGCATTGCGCTCCATGCTACTTTTTCAATAAAGCTTCTTTTTATCCCTCTGATTTCTCTCTTAGTAAGTGTTGCTTACATTACTCATGTCCTTGCGTATTGGGGATCTTACGGTATTAAATGTGTTGATTTGGAAAGCTTTTGTACAAAGTTATATTGAAAAAACCGTCTCGTCCTTAATTTTTGCACACCAGTGTATATAATATAGTTAATCTTTTCATGACACTTTGTATTTCATTAGGTTTGCTGCTATTAAATTAAATTTGTGGCAACATTTATGTTTAGCATAAGTGGCACTTCATTAACAGAAAGTATCAAAAATTATTATTATTTAGATTTGTATAATATTTATTTTATTTTTTGATTACATAAGTTTCCATCTAATAGAAGATGTTTAGACATTAAAGAAAATAATATATATATATATAAAGACAAGAAAATATAGACCAAATGACAATAGATCTAAAAGTAATTGTACTAATAAAAGCATTAGAGAACATACATAAAAGAATATATACACACAAATACATACAGAAAAACTTAAACTACAAAAATGGGAAGAAAAATAATCAGACCTCATCGAAAGAAAACACTCCATATTAGAAATAAAATTAATGCAAAGAGTGCATCACATTATAAAAAAAGTATTTTGGCATATAATAATAAATACAAATATCAAACCTCTATGTACCTTCATGACCTATGGTTTGGTCATGATGGTACACTGTGGAAAAAAAAAAAAAAAAAAAAAAAAAAAAGAAAAAGAAAAAAAAGAAAGTAAAGGGACACTTCTATATTCCCCATTCTACTGGGCCGACTCATGAAATTCAAATTGCATTTTCTATGTCTCAAAAGCACAACTTAGAATATGTATATATAGATTTATATATAGCATTGTTCTATTTTAAGTATTTTGACAAAAAATCAGACTTTTTCTGAAATGACACCAATTTTTTCCCATATTTCGATTTTACAACTCAAATTATACCTAAATATTATGTTTTGTAAAATGTGGCATGAAATTTATGGAGAAATCCAAATTTTATCTTGAGGCATTTTTTCAGTTTGTGCTAAGCATAATGAATTTACTTGGCTAACTTCTTAACTTATGGCAAACTATTTTCCTTTCCTTTTTTCCATTGTACATGAGCAGAAAAATGGTCATCGTTCGTACTTTCAAATAATTTTAAAAAGTGCATAAACTACATTGGGCATTATTATTGCTTATAACTAATATGCAAAATTTCAAAATGTGCTAAGATATAAATTGACATATATATCTTAAGAAGTTTTAAATAAAAAAAAAAAAAAATCTAATTTGTTGCAGGTATACTTAGAATTACATCTACTTTAAGATGAGAGTAAAAATTTTACATTATAAATCAAAATGTTTTTCCAAAAATTTATAAAAATATTTAAAAATACAAATTTTTAAAATAAATCATTAAAAATGGGCAAATTTTATTTGGAATGAACCTAAATTTCGAAAAGGGAAAGGAAGAATTAAATAAGTTTAATAAAAAAGAGATATTAATAAATACATATGAGGAGCTATTTTGAGAGCTAATTTTTTAAAAACCGGTTGTGTGATTTTTACAAAACTTGGCAGTTTGGCATAATCTAATCCATAGAATCAAAATATGGAAAAAAAAATAGCATGTCATTTCAGAAAAAGTCCGATTTTGTGTCAGAATACCTATATTACAACAATGCTATAGATAACACTAATACATATCCCAAGTCGTGCTTTCAAGACATGAAAAACGCAAGTTGAATTTCGTCAATCGGTCCAGTAGAACGAGAGATACAGAACTGTCCCCCCTTTTTTTGTGCAGTATACATAGATTATACATTTGTTAAAATTATAAATTCTAAGTGTAACAGAAAACTAATGATGTATCATCACAACACATCTAAAATGCAAATCTTTTTTTTTTTTTTTTTCTTTCAAAGTCTGATTTACAAGAGGGGGGGGAAGAAAGAGAGAAACCAAACAGAAATGCAAATGCAGCCACTGCTTAATTTTTGCCGAGAAAAATTAACAACAAAACGTTAAAATTAAGAGATTAATCGCTTTTGAACGGAAAAAAAGAAAGCAATAAACAGGATTTTCATTGTAACCTCACAATTAGAATTCACGATTTAAAACTGCAATAAAAGGTATACCTTAACAGTGGAGCAAACCAGAAGTTTATTATCAGTGAAGATCTTTGTAACATAAAATAGCCACTGTTAGAAGACAGCATAGTTCATGAACTACCACACCCTTCAAAATTATACAATCATTCAAAATAATAATAATTATAATTATTAGGACACACTCCAATCAATCTCCTTTAATGAACAAATGCAATTAATCTCCTTCAGTTCAAGCACACTTATTCTACTACCCTTGTCACTTTCTGAAACAGTTCTGAAAGTACTCTTTTATGAATATCTTCAGTTCCATTATCATGGCTGCCTCAATATCCTGAGGTGATGGAAAATACTTAACCTTTCATATTCATTTTAATTCTAGGAAAAAAGCTATAAATGACAGAACCAATGAGTGAACTGTTCATAAACATTATGTAATACTTTCATTTGGCAGATACTAACAAATCAGACAGGATATGACAGCATATACAGTCAAAAGTCGTTAATTCGGACACCCATAATTCGGAATGATCTATAATCCGGACCTCAAAGCTAAAAACTTTCTGCGCATGTGCCGCGTTGGCGCATGCGCGTAAGACCTTGACTACTGCGCATATGCGTGTGCGCAAGTGCAGAATACGTTTTTGCCTGCGCGTTTAATGTATAACGGACGGTGTAAGCTAAAATTATCTAATTATCTATTTCAGTTAATGTTAATGATTGAGTTGTTCCTTAATCTTCGAATTGGATCCCACTTATTATTTTTTGCAGACTGTAAGAGCAATTTTATAAAAGTAAACTTGAACTTTCGATTATGTCAAATAGAATTTCCGATGCTGGAACTTTCAAAGGATCTACAAAACGAAAGTATGTTTCGATGTCCAACAAACAAAAAGTGGAATTGCTGCAAAAAATGGATAAAGACATGAAGAATGTGACAGAGAGGTTAGTGAAAACGAAAAAATTTCGATTGACAAGTTAGTCGGTATTCTCGGCACAGCAATTACCGGGACTTGAACAGCGGAACTTTGTAACTGAACAAGAAATTATGTCTGTTTATAGAATTAAAGTGAAAGTATTATCACATAAAACGAAGCAACTTAAACAACTTACATTGAAAGAAATGTTTAATAAAGTAAACAAATAAATATTAAGTTTTTTTTTTTTTTTTTTTTTTTTGGTAAATTTTGATACCCTTTAGATCATAATTGTTCTTTATTTCATAAATTACGGTTTCAAAATTTTAATTTTAGAATTTCTGCATGCCATCTTACGAGATTTAAACTGATGATCTATAATCCGGAAAAATCGATAATCCGGAATCGCCGAAGTCCCGACGAGTCCGGATTAACGACTTTTGACTGTAGTATTATGATGGTGAATGAAACTATCCAATTTTTTCAGGCTGCTTTCTATACACATTTCTTAAATACTACAGAAAAGCTCTTATAATTCTCTGCTCTACCAAGCTCAAAAGACAATCCACATCACTTTGATGAAAGAACTTAGCTGGTACACATTTTACATAAAAGCAGCTGCTCAAACTGCTTTAGTGCCATTTTCATTTGAATCATGATGAACTGTTTAGAGCATTTCATATTTCCTTACCAATTCTTTTGCATTATGAAATAGAATTTCATCTAATGTATTATTTCTGAACCATAATTTACAAAATTTTAAAATACATTTTCTTTTAGGCAAAATTTTTAGCTGACAGGCTAAAAACATGCTAAAAGCCTGTTACACATTTTTATTAAGGCATGATGGCCCATTTCACCTACTGATGATCCTTATTTTTCTATTAGACAGCACTCAGCAGCAGCAATCAGCATATTCTTTTTTTTTGCTGGCTTGATTCCTCAACACCCAACAAAAAGGGGAAAGAAAAACTTTACACATTTAAGGAAGGATATTCTTACTGTTTTAATCTAAAACGTGTATAAAATGTAATTCAAAGAGTACTATGACAATACACAAGAAACTAGCCTCAATTTCAAGAAGTCTGAACTTAGTATCAGAATGCAGTTTAGTTTACAAATCAACCATCTGTCTGCACAACAGTTGTCTGACTAATAAATAAACTTTCATTACCAATTAAAGAGTTTAGAGCTATCAGGGATTTGAAAAATCCTATTAGGGAAATTAATTAGGGAAATCTTATTATGGAAATAATTCCCTAATATTAGCTATTAGAAAATCCCTTCTATCCCCTTCCCTCTAAAAGGGTGACTGGGAAGAAGGAAATGAGGCTCAGTGAGCTAAACTTAGATGGTGAAAAATTATCCTCTACAATTTTAGTAAGATGCCACTGTAAAGCTATTGGGTTTACACAGAAGGAGACACGAAAAAAATACGCTTCAAGAAATGACATCAATTTCACTTCAAGAAAATACAGCGAGGAAAACAAAATTTTTTATAGTATGAATTAAATATTATTTTTCATCCTAAAATAAACATAAGAAATTTTTCTGATAATTGTCACTTTTGCTATAAAAGAAATGTATTCATTCCTAATAACATATTTTCATTTTTCATATCTAAATAATTTATTTTTAACAAGACTAATATAACACATATAATATCTAGGTATTCAAAATTACAGCTGTCACTAGCTTCTATAAATACAATTTTAATGTTATAATTGTCACATGATGCTAAAACTTAAAAACACTAACTTTAATATTTACAGAAGTAAGTATTTAATATTCTTAGTTAAACAAATATGAAGCATTCTCTATCAAACTAACTTTAAATAAAATAATTTGTATAAGTATAAAATAATTTGTGTAAAATAAATAATACAATAATTTGTATAAGTATAAAAATAATTTGTGTAAAATAAATAATACAATAATTTGTATAAGTATTAAATTATTTGTGTAAAAAAATAATAAAATAATTTGTACATATTTTAACAGATACTGCTAGTTGTTTACTTTTGACCAATTCATTAACAATAGGACAGCTTTCTTTTCAACTTTTTCAGCATGGAAAATATTTTAACATATAACCTAACATTTGATTTTTTTTTTTTTTTTTTTTTTTAAATTCTGAAATTTGTGGGACTGTTATGCATTGTATGTATCTGCTCCTCTTTTTCAATATTACAACATCCTTAAACAATAAAAAAAAAGCACATAAATATTTTATTAGAATATGCCATAGAAAATTAGCATTAAAGCTTCACACGATGCAACATGTATCATGATTAGCTTTCATTTTGATATTATGGTTAGGTTAATTGAATATGCACAGAATATGCAAAGCATACAAGGGCTATCTGCCTAATGGAAAGGATGCCTTCATGAAGGATTTTCTAAGGTAAACTGGCTTGTATACACATTGAATATGAGGATAACCAACCTTGGAGCTAGCCTATTTGCTTGGGATTAAACCCAAGTATTTAGTTATCTTAACCAATCAGCTACTGGTGAGGCCATTTTGGTATTATAAATTTCCATTTAACTTAACTCAAATCTTTTGTTGAGTACAAGATTTTAAATACTATGGTATTTTATTGTAGTAGTACTAAATTTTAACTAAGTCATGTTTATGTACAAAAATGTATGATAAAAAATATATATAAACATAAAAATATAGCATCATTGCTATTGTATTAATTCACATGTTAAAAGGTAAGGAACTCCTCACTTTGAAATTAAGGTGAAAATTAACAGAAAATAACATTTAACATTCCGCACCCATACATTTTTCTCCCACACGATTAAAATCATTATAAACTATTTTATTTCTTGTATTTCCCCAAATACTACTGTTTCTATGCTATAATAATAGCAACATATATGCAATGATGGACATGCATACACAAATCAAATTCATATAAAGAATTCATAAAAGTCTGAAATTTAATACATCAAAAGAAAAATAACATATGTGCTTTTCTTTTAATGGAGAGGCAGTTGCCAAATGTGCCTGCCCTAAATGAGGTAGCCTGTTTGTGTCACATAAGCAACAGCTATGCAATGATGTCATTACGAATAAATGAGAAGAATGAACATCAATCCAATAATTTTTCAACCTAGATTTTCAACTGTTTTTGTGTTCAAATGCAGATATTTTTTGTAGAATTTACACCCTATGCTAAATTTATGCAATTCTCTGATTTTCTTAAGGCAAAACCAACATGGTGCACATTAAATATTATATAAAAAGTAGTTAGTGTTTTCATAAAGCTTTATGTGTCGTTACATTGGCTACCATTACAGTTGGATTTTGTTTCAAAACTTATGCTTGGTGCTATGTGGTGGCCCATTAACAGAAAAGAATCCAAATTTTAAATTATACAGAATAACTCGTATAAACTACTCACAGCTGTTGACATTTTAACAAAAATAAAATATTTATTAAAAGTATTGCAGAATAGCTAAAATGCCCGTTACCTTTAATTGTATATTGTTGGGTGGCTCAAGAGAAACTGAACCACAAATGGGGAGGGGGACTTCTTTTGCTTTGGGTTCAGTTTATCTTGGACCACTCTATATTTACTGAAACATCCAACAAAATTAATAATTGATTATGAAAGATTAAAAATCTATGTACTTTGTTGCTTTTCTTTGCATTTCAGAAGAAAATCCCAAGCCTGCTAATATAACGGAAGCTCGAGCGGGTGCCTTGTCAGCTTCTATTTGCTGAAGTTCTATGTATATTTCTTGTAAACGGCCATTAAGTTGGCTGTCATCAGGAGCAACTGGGCTGAAAGTACACAGCAAAATTAAAAACTTGATTTCGTTCAGCGACGAATATTGAACATAAAATCATAAGAAAGTTAATATATATATTCAAAAGATAAAAATAAATTTGCTTTTATATAATATAAAAAAAAAGAGAGAGCAAAAATAGAGCACCAGAACTTCATGAAATATTTGATGAACAAATAAGTAGCTTAATATAAAGTTAAAATTAATTTTAATTTAGTCACATTTGACATGCACTTTTACATCTGCTTTTTTTCCGCATTATAGTTTGTTAATTTGTATACCATAAATTAAGTTTCCGAATACTACTCTTACTTCATTGAAAAAATACTATGCCTATGATAAAAAAATATCTTCACATTAACTAATCTGGCTTTGTTTCAGTTTGTATAAGGGAGATACAATTTTCTACACTTCATAAATATTTACTAAAAGCAGAGTTTCTGACTCTTCGTAAATCTTACTTGCCGCCCAGACGGTACAGTGGTTAGGGCAGCCTGACTGTGATACCTAAGGGCTTGAATTCGAATTCTGGAGATAGCATGGTTGTAAAATTGTTTGTCCCTACATAAAAGGTAGCGAAGGCCGCCTATTAGGTGCCTTCACAATAAAATGGCCACCACTTCTGACCTTATTAGTGGGCAATACTGTTATATGCAAGTGCCCACCATTGGGAAGAGAACCTTATTTAAAAGATGGGCAGCAGTGATTTTTCATGTTTATATTAAATCAGTTCTTTATGCAGAAGGGGATATTTTTAAAGAATTATCAAATAATAATAATCAAAATAATAATAATAAATTTAAAAAGTTATTAAACATTCCGAGTATTTTTATTTTTTCTATGATTCTTTATATCTTTTGTTATCTTTCTACATAATTTCTATTTATTATTATATCATGAAACAAGATTTCGTAAATCCATGGCATAGAAATGTACTGGCTTTCACCAGAAAACAAAACAGATCTTCGCTCCATCATCCAATGAACTCTAGCTTGACACACCACTGAAATGGCAGTGATTTGGAGTCAGTGGAATGCATGCTACAGGGTGTCTGGCTCAGAGCAATCCTTCAAGTTACTGATTTGTAATAGTTCGCAGAAATCTGACCACAGCCATAAGTGAAACATGGCAGTTTTTTCTCTCATCACTGCCATGTGGTCATCCAGGACACAGTCTTTTACAGTTAGTACATTCCTTGACTACTGCTATCAACAATCATGCATAGTGGATACATTCCTGCAATGTCTTTCTGCAATATCACAGAAAGAAAATCCACCTTCTCATAGCCCTATTACATGACTTTGTCCAAACTCACTGAGCTGTTGACAATAGCTTCTTCGTCTTCTTAAAGGCATTCTTGACTAACATCAACTCACTATGGCAAATCTCAATGATAAGTAATACTCACAAACTTTAAAGTGCATATTTAAAGCAAACCAGATTTGCATGTTTCCAATGGCACTACTAGTGTGAAATCTGAATAGATGTCATCTTTCAAATCTATAAACATGCCTACCAAATTTCGTTTATCTAGCACAATTGTTTTTGAATTATTCAACACACACACATATAGACAGACGTCATGAAAGAATCCATTTTACAATCCATTGGCGGGGGAAAAAGTCTTTTATTCTGTCCATACATGCATACATCAAACTAAAAAATCATCCAAATAGATTCGAGAATGGTGAAAATGGATATTTCCATAGAAATACGATACACAAAATCTTTTGGGATTACAATACCTCCTTTACTTCATATAAGGAAGTAATAAAGATGCACTAATGGAATTTCTTGTTTTAAAACAATGAAAAATTACTGTTATAATATGAAAATTAATTCATTAACATAAGATCATACCCATTACTATTCATTAACTGAAGAAGCTTCTTTTCTTCCAATATTAAATTCTGTCTTTTTTCATCACATTCTAAAACACTATCCAAAGCAGTAGTGTCATCTCCTACAACTTCTTGTTCCACATGCAGCACAGATATGTGGGAAGAAATTTTCAGCTGACCGCTATAAAAATATAAAATAAATATAAACCTTTTTACACACCAAAATTACATATTAAATATGCATTTAATTATGTCAGATCTTTCTCTCTGGATATGCTACAAAGAAAAAGCAATATTTTGATGCTTTTCGTTCATAACTTTGTGCCAAATGAAGATTGTTTATTTCACCTCGTTCAATGATGCCATGAAGAATAAATGGAAAAAATAACAATAAATTAATTTCATATTTAATATTTTCAGTTTTTTTTAGCTCCTGAAGAGAGATATGGATTATGCAATTTGGTAATTGTCAAATGATACATCACAAGAAAATTCTTTCAAGATGAAGATATCATCCATGCTGAAAGAATTTGCTTAGAAATTTACAAGATGAAAGTGCATTTTACTATTACTGAAGCATGAAAATGAAGCTGCAATGAAAGACAGAAACGTTAGAGCCCTGTATTACATTTAAAGCAATTAAATAATGAAGAATCTGCATAAATGAATGTACATTTCTTGCACTGTGATAAAACAACGGTACCTAGAGTCATAAAATTTTTAATACATATAAATAATAATTTACGTTTCCACCCGAATATGGGCATCTAGAAGCACAAATTTGGAATTTTTTTTATTATCAATCTCATATTTTGTAAAATTTTAACGAATTTTTGATTAACAAACTCAACGATTTCAAAGCGAGCCATGGCAACTTTGTACAGAAAAAATATTTTTATCTCCAGCACGCGAGACTCCGTATCGGAAATTCTAAAGATAGGCTCATTTTAAAATTATTTTGCGTTATTGCTGTTGAACTGAATTTATGGTTTAAGTGTGAAGAACATGATATTTAATAAATAACGTTAACACACTAAACGTTAAAAGAAGCACCATTGGGCATAATGTTAAATCTGAAAGCTTCAGATTTGATTGATTGACTGATTTTTTGTCTGTTTTTGTATTTGTGTTTATGTGGGCTGTTTATTAAAATAAACAGCCATTCCTTTTATGAAGCTGGTTATGAAGAACTTATGGTCAAAACTCTGAGAACATGGAAATGCAGCAAGTATGAAGAACAAGAAAAACAAAAGCTTGTTTCAATCAGAGATCTTGTAAGAAATAATGTTTGATATTTAAGAGAATAGCTCTAATGAATAACCATTAACTGCAATGCATGCATGACAATGATGTCAGATTTTGTTTACAAGATGCATACTCACTTTCCTGTTGATTTTGTCAGAAACTGCAGATACATGTGATGTGCCAGGCATCTTCCAAGGTGTATGCCAATCATTTTATAGTTACCATGATGCATGCATTTCAGTTGGCACTTATTTATTTCAACAATTCTTATAACTATCAAACCTTATTTCTTGTAAATATATCTCATTAAAACAACTTTGTTCTTCATAATTATTATGTTTCTGCATTGTCATTCCACCACGTATCATCATAAGAAAATTGCTACTTTTGTCATATTCTATTCACCCGTTAAATTTGTGACCATCATTCTGTTACACCCTTATATAGTTCAGATGGCATTCCTATCTCTATTAGATATCATGGCATCATTTATGTGTGGCATCAAGAGACACCCTCTGTTGATCAAAATGTACCAATTTTTTTTTCTGTCATTGTTCTCTCACTTGATGAAACAAAAAATTAACATATAATTAATTTTTCATATTAAACAATTCACAGAATATCTGTACTTTAATCTCCTGAGTATCAAGACTGTGTATATATATGGTCTTGAGGTTTTCTGCTACTTAGTATACATTGTCTTATAATCTATTTTATTTTCTTACATTCTTTAATAATACAGATATCATTTTAATATACAGAAGTTTATGAAAACAGAGAACTAAAATAACAAATTTAGCTAACATAAGTTGTTTCAATAAAGTTTTTAATGGGTAGCTAGGAAAAGCCATGTAACTCAGAGACTTAAATTTATCATTAAGGATGTACTTCACTGAATAATTAATTCTTTTTTTTATTTTGGCTTTCAGAAATTTGAAATGCATTTTTGTTAAGTAAAATACATGCAAATATCACTCACTCTGTATTCATTATTTTTAAATTATGTTCATATATCCTTTGTTAATCAAATACGCGTGAATGTCTAATGTGAATTTATGCACTCTTTCTAGCTAATTCTATAATGAAAACCAAAATATAAGTTTAATTTTGTAAAATATTTAAGAAAGATACTCTTAAGTATATTTGCAAATAAAGAAAAGAGCATCGACTTCATCAACAAACAAATCAGAAATTAAATTATTAGCATTTTATTTCACTTTTATTAACCCTTTTTTGTTATCAGCTGTTGAATAAATTTTACACATCTAAATACATAAGGGTTATTTTATCTGTTAACTGCTACCATGTATTAATTTTCATAAATTTTATTTTAGTAGACAGTTATAATAAAAATATTTAATGACAATTTCAAAGAGCTAATAAAAGAAAAAAAAAAAAAATGGGAAATATTCATACACATCATAGTTCTTTTAAACAGTTAATTAAAAAAATAAGAAGAATAACTTTTCTAATTACAAGTTTATGAAGGGGAATAAGGAATTCAAAATGCACACTAGAAAAAAATTGAATACATCCATTTTATTCAAAAACATGCAAGGCTGATCCCTATTATAATAAAATTACATTTTACCTGTATGCATCTATGTGATGCAATTTTGATTGTATACACTTTCAATCAAAACCATTTTAATGTTGCTACTTTTATATAACTACAGCACTTATCATTATAAATTATTTAGTCAAGAATTTTCTTTTCTACTGCTTTTTGAATAGAAAAATTTTGCAAAATCAAAGCATATCCTGACTGAGACCAAATCTCGCAAGTAAACCTTCTCTCTCTCCTTTGATACCGGTTTTCTGAAAACCCATATATTTTCTGAAAGCTTATGTCATAAGTAGGAAAACTGTAAAGTCTTAGGGGCAGAGGGACAAGCATTTAGGAGCTATAGGCCTCACAAAGTATCATTAAAGTGTGTATAGATGAACATATTCCCGTAATGACATCTCCGTTTCTTGTATGTTTACACATTGTCTGCTTCCGAAGCACCTGATGGTAGAGGTTCTACTAAAAGAACTCGTACCTGAAGGATGTATGGGAAAGATCCAGCCTCTGGATATTTATTTCTTCAAACACTACAAATCTCTTGCTCGTTACATAATGGACATGATCATTATCGAGACACAGGAGCACATTTAGCATTGCGATAGTTTTCTGGCCCTGCAGACTTTTCACTATATCAGTTCAGTGCTCATCCTTTCAAGAACTTGATTAAGTATGCTTTTTATAAGGACAGATACTTGGACGACGAACCTGGAGGATTACTGCTTCGATTTCATTGACAAATGATGAGTGTGCAAAGTGTGAGGCTATCGCTTTTGTAAAATGTGCCCAATGTTAACTCTCGTTTTTTCCCGTCTCAATGTTTATTTTATTAATTGGACACTGACTGTCTCTTGTAATAGTTTTGTTTGAAGTCAATAACAAGCAGGGCTGTGGAGTCAGTAAGGAAAATGACCGACTCTTAACTCCTGGAATTTTAATGACTCTGACCCCCTCATATATATATGTAGCGTATTATATATATATGTAAGATAAAAATGTATGAATCAGAATTATAATATAACTATAAACATTAATTCTTCCTCTCTGTTCTAAAATCGTAATAACTTATCTGCATTGCGTCATTCAGATTAATCATGCGATCTTACGTAACCGTTAATACCAGATGCCTCTTGACAACCAATTACCGAATTGTAAACCAAAACTTTTCTCTTCGCGTGCTTCCATCTTGGCATAACTACGCACTGCAGCTTTGCTCTGTCTACTCTGCTAAGGATGTAAATTCGTTACTGGCTTGCTTTCCTATCTCAACAATATCAAAAATGTAAATCTTCTGTGGAAAGGCACGACTAGAGTGCCAAGTGATTGTGGCCACAAATATCAGCTGGAAATAAAAATGGAATTAAAACTGCCTCGACTGCCAAGTTCTTTAAATACTACGCAATCAAAATTCTTCTTCAATATGGGTCTAATCACGCATCTACAGTGTTCCGTCATTTCCTTTTGCTTTTATTATGACAATTAAGCCAGTAGGATAGTTTCCTGCAGCCTGAAACCTCAATGGAAAATTTAGTTCAGCTCTTCAAATCATCGTTTTTTATAAATCTAAGATAAAGTGAAAGAAGTGAATCATAGTGCTTAGAAAATAACAGATCATTCTTCTGCTGTGGTGTTTTGCAAGTGCTTCAAAAAAAAAAGTAATCAGGCGTAGTGTTTACAGATTGAAAGTAATATCTCGATAAATTGAGAAGTTCGAATGCCTAGTGAAAATAAAATCATCAGTGAATTACCGTTTAGGAATTAAGCATTGCAGCGGGTTCAAGGTCGATCTGAGTTAGTGTTTGCAAGTATGTGCGACAGAAAATTATCTGCACTTCCGCTTTTTCAAGAGCTCAAAAATTGTTACATTCGTGTGACTCTAACTCAGGAACTAAATCATTTAATATGTTGCGAATTCTATAGTTTTCATTTCAATTTTGGTTAAAATTTCTGCAATTTGTTTTGAGAAAATCTGAAATTCTTGTTCATTAATGTTTCTAATTTTTCATAATTATGTGTGAGCAAATTAAGTAACGAATTTTAAGCTATTTAAATTACTCATAGGGAAGGATATTAAGATAAGTTTTTATGTTTTTGAAATTTTGTTGAGAATTTTGAATACGAATTTTATAATTATTCTAAAAATGAACTAGGTGTAAAAAATAAGTGAAATTATTACAGATACGTAATATGAAATTATGGTAAATGCATGTTAAAATTTATGGGTTATTGTGTGTTAAGTATAGTATAATGAGGGTGTACTGTTCCTTCAACAGAGGCCCGTAGTTACCTCTGTACAGTTTTCCTTTTACCCTCTTCATGCAAGATAATGTTGGAGGCTCTCATTTTATGAATGCATGTAAATTTTTATATTATTATT